TGCACATAAGTCCTTTGGTTGATCTCTCCCTTTTATCCCCACCCACCCTTTGAGGTCCAACAGCCTGACTGTTATTATTGTGAAGCCAACCTCATTCATGTAATTCCCAAGTTGACCTTTAGTACATTATAAGGTTGGACCTCCAATTACATCAGAATAAACTGCAAAGCAGTTACATCAGAATAAAAAGGATAACATCTTAACCACCTAACTTATCAAACAAAATGAGCCTATAAAGATGCAGATAAAAATCGCAGGTGGACAAAAGGTGCTATCACAGAAGTTCTAAGGGAACAAAGGGGTGAGGAGTGCAAACAAAAGCCTGGACAGGACCGGGGCATTACTTCATTGGAGCATGCAGCATAACTCTCTCTCACTGTGTTCAAGTGAAGAGCAGAAGATGCCACTGGCAGATGAATTGTTTGGAGTTAAAGTTACTTAAGAAACAGCCAGGACAAGGGCATTCTAACCTCTTTTGCCCCCTGAAAGTAGGAAATAAATCTCCACCTGAAGGTCCCTTCCCTGGACCAAGAGGTTTGAAGCATCCTTATTACCAGAGAAGGGAGTTAAGGTTGAGAAGGCTTTGTAAACAAAAATTATTACTTCCTCATTAATCTGCTACCGCAAGCCCAAATCTCTTTATAGTTTGCCAATTCTTCACAAACTTATTGTCTCCTGGTCTAAAAGGTATAAAAGCTGCCTGCTTTGGTCACTTTGGGAGTTTCCTATTTTTATAGGCTCCTGTCCATACAAAATTAAATTTGTTTTTCTCTTGATGATCTGTATTAGTCAACTTAGTTAGCAGGCTAGCCAAACAACCTAGAAGGGGAGAAGGGACAAGTTTTCTGTCCTTAGATGAGCATACAGTTTGTGGGTCTTTCCTATATAATAAAAAAGTCCAGCCCAGCAGGGGTGGCTCAGTGGTCGAGCCACCCCTGCTGGGCTGGAGGTCATAGTTCAATGGATTACCCCTCTGGCCACATGTCCGGGTTTGGGGCACAATCCCCAGTAGGGGGCACATAGGAGTGGGTTGATCAATGATTCTCATCACTGATTTTTTTCTTTCTCCCTCTGAAATCAATAATATATATATATATTAAAGTCCAGCAAGAAGTGACTGACAGAGGAAACCACTGGAAGGTGGCAGCATCAGCATCGGTAAATGCCTGTACTTGCCACCTCCCACAACTACATCAAAACTACAACTAAAAAATAGAACAACCATCATCCACAATCTCTGGAAAGCCGGCTGAATGAAAGTCCTACGACTAGAGAAGTAAAGAAGAAAGCACAATGAGACTGGTAGAAGGTGCAGAGGCGTGGAACGGGCTAGGCCGGCACCCATATGGGCTACTTTTTTAATCAGGAGGGAGATCGTCTCTGTGGTCCCAGCACCACATTGGACCCCAGCCCAGGTTCTCAGAGCTGGGAAAAGAAGTCCCTACGGATAGTAAGAACTACAGGCTGTGAAAACCAGTTCAGATTGGGGCTCAGTGATACAGAGGTTGCTGGTGAGCCAGCTGTTCCTCTTAAAAGGCCAGCACCATGAACTGAACTTACAAGGTCCTGCTTTCTCTGAGCTCCAGCACCAGGGCAAGGCTTTGGGGGACACAGACACATAAGAGGAGGAACTGAATTGTCTGGTGTCAAGGCAGGAACATGGGGACATCTTTCTCCTAGACAGAGGCGTTACAGAGATCATTGTTTTTATGCTGGGACCACCCAGCCCCAGAGCTGACGGATAGCCATTTGTTTGCTCCGCCCTAGTGGTTCCCAAAGACCCCGCCTCATCCAATTTACAATCCCACACAAGCTGTGTGCAGTGGCTTTTGCATATGAATGGCCTTTCCTTGCTCAGGCTAAAATCTCTCAAACAAGCTGCAGCTGGGTCAGGGAGTCCCAAACCTATCAATAAAAGGCCTAAGACCCAGCACCAGCACCAGCCTGCCTTGCTTCACAGCTGGGCCTCATCTGGGCACTTCCAAACCCAATATAAAGAGGAGGGATCTTCAAATCTCTCTGTAGCTTCTGCTGGGTGGCCCCAGGCAGTAGCTGACTTTGCAGCTCCCTGGAAACACAAGAGCCAGTATATATCCAGTGGTCAGTGTCAGACTATACCAGATTACACCTCTACACATAAGTGACACATTCAAGGGACAGACCCAGTGAGCACCAAAGCCCCACTAAAGCAAGTCCTGCTCCATAGGGTGTCTCCTGCATAGCAGCTCTCCCACTGTAGTCACAGCTGGTCCTCACAGCCAAATGGTCTGGAGGTCAATTCCTCCCAGTGACACAAACAGCAATAAAGTCTCAACTACAACATAATTGTGCTCATAAAGGGATGCACCTAGAGCTCCCAGCTCAGGTGACTGGGGAAGCTGAGCCACTGCACCCTATAGAACACCTATTACACAAGGCCACTCTACCAACTCAAGGAGACATAGCAGCTCTACCCAATACATAGAAACAGACACAGGGAAGCAGCCAAAATGTGGAGACAAAGAAATATGTCACAAATGAAAGAAATGGAGGAAAGTAAACTACTGGATATAGAGTTCAAAACCATAGTTATTTGGTTACTCAAAAATCTTCTAAAAACCTCCAAAAAATGGAAAAGGACCAGTCAGAAAGTAAGCATACATTGACTAAGATAAAGAATAATATACAGGGATTCAACAGTAGAGGATTCTGAGAATCAAATAAATGATTTGAAATATGAGGAAGCATAAAACACCTAACCAGGAGAGCAAAAGTAAATAAGAATCCAAAAAAAATGAAGGCAGTGTAGGGAGCCTCTGGGACAACTGCAAGTGTACCAATATTCGCATGATGGGGGAAGAAGAAGAGAGAGAGCAAGATATTGAAAACCTATTTGAAGAAATAATGACATAAAATTTCCCCCACCTGCTGAAAGAAATAGACTTACAAGTCCAGAAAGCACAGAGAGTCCCAAACAAGAGAAAACCAAAGAGGACCACACCAAGACACATCATAATTAAAATGCCAAGGGCTAAAGACAAAAAAAGAATATTAAAAGCAGCAGGAGAAAAGCAGTTAGGTACCTATAAGGGTATGCCCATACAACTGATTTCTCAACAGAAACTATGCAGACCAGAAGGGAGTGGCAAGAAATATTCAAAGTGATGAATAGTAAGAACCTACAATCAAGATTACTTTACCCAGCAAAGCTATTGTTTAGAACTGAAGATCAAATAAAGAGCTTCACAGATAAGAAAAAGCTAAAGGAGTTCATCACCACCAAACCAGTATTATATGAAATGTTGAAGGGTATTGCTTAAGAAGAGGAAGAAGAAAAAGATTTAAAAAAAATATATGAACAACAAAATGGCAATGAACACATACCTATCAAAGTAAACAAATGAGAAACCTAATAAACAGAATAAACTAGTGAATAAAATATAATCAGAGGCATAGAAATGGAACAGACTGAGCATTCTTAGAGGGAAATGGGGAGAGATTAAACAAAGACCTTATATACCTATATGCATTACCTATGGACATAGACAATTGGATGGTAACGGCCTGGTGCAGGGCAGGAACCGGGTAAGGGGGGGCAATGAGGGGAAAAAGAGGGACATCTGTAATAATTTCAACAATAAAGATTTTTTAAAAAGAAGTGATTAACAGCTATGTTAAAGGATGGCTTTTAATGTTATGAGCATTAATTCATCTAATTTTTATACTGTAATCTTGTCTTGCCTTTAAGATATGCTTGATGTTACAGCATACTTATTTTATAGCTGAGGAAAATAAGGCTCCGAGACGTTAAATCTGTAACTTACTCAAGATCACACAAGCATTAATACCTTGAATCCTACATTCTTTATCACACCAAGTGTCTTCCCTGACTTCATTCATTTTGCTAACCATCAACAGCCTGAATTATTTACTCACGATTGCCCTCTTTAGAGCCATTTTTTTCTCATTCATTTGGGTGAGGATGTGAATGTTTTCTGGGTTTAGCAAGAAGAGAAAAAGGTTAATAGCAGTTTTTGTTCCTAATTAAAATGATTCTCAAGAAGACACGATTGAGAAACATGAAGCCCTGCTTAGAATACAGGGCTACACTCAATTTGGTGAGATGTTTCTATCTAACAGTAGAGAAATAGATTTTTTTCTTCTCCTTTTCATGACAAATATTCATCTTTATTTGATTTTAGCCCTGTCGGGCCTGACAAAAACAGCAATTTGCACACGAGGTCTACAGAAATTTTCTGTGCAAGCCGGTAGCCACTAGCCACGTGCAGCTATCCGCCCCTTAGCATGGCTGATCACAACGCAGACCTGCAGAAAGTGTGAAATGCACATTGGATGTTGTTAGCATGAAAAAAAAAAACACAACCCATATCATTCATATTTCATATTGGTTTCATGTTGAGGTGATACCGTTTTGGGTATGGTGGGTTAAATACAGTAAAACCCATTCCACCTGTTTCTTCTTGCTTCTTTCATGTGGCTTCTAGAAAACGTGTAATGACTCGCACTGGATATTTATTGCAGGGCCCTGGGACACGGAACAGAGGGGAGTTTCATTGAAAAGTAGTGTATTTCCTTAAAATTACTAATTACGGAAACTGGTAAAGGGGGAAGGGAAGGGAAGGGGCTGAGCGCGGTCCCGGGGCCGCAGTGAGCGGCGGGCGGGGCGGGCAGCCCCCCACCCCCCGCGCTCCCCGGGCGGCGGCGGCGGCGCCTCCCCCAGGGGGTCCCCCGGGAGCCGGGCCCGGAGCCGCCGGCCTGCGCGCCCCCGGAGCCGCGCGCCCGCGAGCGCCGGTGCGGCCCACGCCCCCTCCCCCCGCGTTTTTATTCCCGCGGCTTCAACCGTCGGCCTCCCGCTCCCCTCCTCCGAGCTGCACGGCGGCGAGCCGGGCGGGTGAGGCAGCCCCGCGGCGGCGGCGGCGGCGGCGCGGGCCGGGCGGGCGGAGCGCGGGCGCCGGGCCTCCGGGCCGCGGGGGGCCGCTGTGACGGCGGGCGCCGCGCGGGGGCGGCGGGAGCGGCGCGGGCGGGCGGCGCGGAGGGAGGGCGTGAGGCGGGCTCGGCGGCGGCGCTGCAGCAGCTGCCGTCGCTCCGAGGCCCGGGCCCGGCCGCGCCTGCCGTTCCATGAGCCCCGCCTGAGGCCGCGCCTGCCCGCGTCCCCAGCGCAGCGCCGCGGCGGCCGAGCGGAGCGGGAGGGAGATGTCGGACGGTTTCGATCGGGCCCCGGGTGCAGGTCGGGGCCGCGGCCGGGGCCTGGGCCGCGGAGGGGGCGGGCCCGAGGGCGGCGGCTCCGCGAACGGAGCGGGGCCGGACGAGCGGCCGCAGCCCCCGGCGCCGGGCCTCCCGCAGCCGCCGCCGCCGCCGCTGCGCCAGCCGCGGACCGCGCCGCCGCCGGGGCCCCGGGGCGAGCCCCCCGCCGGGCCCGCGCGGCCGCCCGCAGGTACGGAGCCCGCCCGGCCCGCGCCCTCCCCGCCGCCCCGTCCCCCCCCCCCCCCCCCCCGCCGCCCGGGCCCGCGGGGCCGGTGGGCACGGCCCGCGGCGGGTCCCGAACGGGCCGCGGGGCCCTTTGTGCGCCGCCCGCCCGCGGGGGAGGGGCGGCGGGCCCGGGGGAGGTGGCCGGCGCCCCCTCCCCACCCCCGGGGGGAGACATCTTGGCGAGCAGCGCCCTCTGCGCACCGGCCCCGGGCGCCCAGCCCGCACCGAGGCCCAGCGCCCCCGAGGGGCTCCGGCGGGCCTTTTGTTCCCTCCGCGGCTCCCGCGCCCTCCGGCCAGCCCACACGTGGTGGCGGCGCTTGTGTGCCTCCAGGATCCAGCCCTTCTCCCGAGGCTTTGTCGGCGCATCGCTGATTGCACAAAGGAAGGCAGGCATCTGACGCCCCCTCCCCCTTTTTTCCCCCCCTTCTTTCCTTCCTTCCTTCCTCAGAGCAAACGAGACCCCAGGACAACTCCCCCCAGCTGAACTCGGAGCCCGCGATGGCCAAGCCCCAGGTGGTGGTCGCCCCAGTGTTAATGTCCAAGCTGTCCGCGAACGCCCCCGAATTCTACCCTTCGGGTTATTCCAACTTCACAGTAAGTACACGGCCTCGGTGCAGCCCGAGGTGCCCGAGGACCAGCGGAGGACGGGGCTGCTGCCCCACGGATCCGCACGCCGGCGCGCTCTGCGCTGCACACAAAGGCGTGCGTGCGGGGAGCCCGGAGGAGACAGCACCCGCGCAGGAGTGTTCAGGGTATCCGCATGGAAGCTTCAGAGTAGACAGTCTCTACGTTCAGGAATTCAGCATGGAAGCTTCAGAGTAGATAGTCTCGTCCGTTTTGTTCTCAGCATCTGCAGAGTATCTCGAGGCGGATAAACTTGATGCAGGCAACCCTCTTCTCCCCCCATCATTCTATAAAACGAAAAATTTTTGGCCAGACTTTATCAGGAACACACAGAATAGGGGCCTGGCAAAGTTTATTTTTAATTTGAGTTTAGTGAGATAGAACCACTGATAGGTTTGGGGTGAATCAAAGAGGTTTTGAGGCAGACTGATTTGTGTAGGTTTTTTGAGTGTTGAGAAGTACACATCTGGGCTCTGTTAAAATAGATGGCTCTAAATTATGGTTATGGGGACATGTCGTGGGGGGTGTTGATAAAGTGTTTAGGTATAAAGAACTTGGAAGCCTCCAGATACATCTTTGTCAATAACATAAAAAAAATTTAAATTGGTCATGTTTTTCTTAAATACCAAGAGAAAGGAATGTGTGTGCTAATAAATGCTGAGCAATTAATTGTAGGTACGTGGGGCAGGACCATTTGGGATTGAAGAAATAATAAGTTTAGCATTAAGTCCTATCTTTCCCACCTTCTTAGCTTTATTGACATAAAACACACAGAATAGTGCACATACATGTTAGCTCAAAGCTTCACAAAGTGAACACTCGGGCAACCAGCACTGAAATCGACAATAGTTTTGCCTCTTCTCAAAGTTTATATAAATGGAGTTATCCTGAATTGATTACGTTTGTTTCTCACTTTCAGTCTATCAAAATTCGCCCATGGTGTAGCATGCACTTGGAGGTGACTTATTCCATTGTGGGACTGTCCCACGGTCCCATTTGTCTGTTTAACATTGGGGTGGCTTCCACTTTGGGGCTGTTATGAACAGAGCTGCCATCTCTGGCCATGTCTTGATGGATACACACCCTTGCCTCTGTTGGGTACATACTAAGGACTGGAATTGCTGGGACAGAAGGTAGCCAGCTTTGGAAGACACTGCCCACTGGTTTTCCTGAGACTTCAGTGTACGCTTGGAGTAGTGTGTGATTTCCAGTTGCTATATTTGCTTGACCACCGCTTAATATTTTCTCTTTTTTAAGTTTAGCCATTCCAGTGGGTGTGTGGTAGCTAGTAGTTTCAGTTCGTATTTACCCAATAACTAATGGTGGCACACCATGCATCTGAGACTACATCAGGAAAAGGCTTTGGGGCTGGAAAAGGGGAAGTGCAGGCATAGTGGGAAGAGCATTTGGGCTGAAAGGGAGCCATCAGTCATGTCAAGTAGAAGGGAGATCAGTTTGGATTCTTGCCAGAAGGTTGTATTTAGCCCAGAGAGGAGAGAAACCATTGGAGACCTGTGAGCAGTTGAATAAACACTTAAGGGTACTTACCTCCTAACAGCCGCAGAGTTCTCCATCTGTTTTTCTCCCTGGTGACTGAGCTGTTTTATGATCGGAGGGATGCGGTTTTTTCACGGTTCTGTACCAACTAGTTTTACAAGTGGCTCCTGGGCTAGCTGTAAAGCGAGTAATGGCTGTGTTAGTCTACTTACTCTGAGCCACTGGCATCTTTTAGGCGTCCTTTGATATCCTCTCATAGATCAACTGCTTCTCTGCTTAATTCCCTAGAACGGATTGCAAGCTGGAAGCCTGGAGCTCACATGTGGCCTGCAGGTGTGTCTTCTTAGGCCTTGTTGCCTTTTTATTTCTTTTTAAGGATTTTTAATAAGTCACCAATATTTAATTTGGTATTGCAAATCTTAATTTTCTGGTGTTTCATGAAATCATAAGATTTAGCCATACTAGGCTGTTATTTTGGTGAAAATTGGCGAATAGAAGCAGCTGCTTTAGACGGAGTGTGTGAACTTGAATTTATACACTGGCTTACTTCATTTGCTTGGAATACACCTGGATTCTATAAGCATTCAAGTTTGCCACTCTGCTCTGGTCATTCTTCAGCCTTTATCCTCTAACCATCTGCCAAGGCTAGGAGTTTTTCCCCAAGCCACTTAGTCTCCTGACTCTTAGGATAAGATCTTTTTTTCTTTTTCTTTTCCTTTTTTCTTTTTTTTATTGTTTGGAGATATAAAATATTGATAGACACAGGTATCAATATTTTTTTAAATTTATTTATTGATTGTGGTATCACATAATTGTCCTCATCCCCCCATTCCCATCCCAAACCCCTCCCCACAGATGCCCCCAACCCCCTGTTGTCTGTGACCACTGGTTAGGCTTATATGCATGCACACAAGTCCTTTGGTTGATCTCTCTCCCTTTCTCCCACCCTCTCTTACCTTCCTTCTGAGGTTTGACAGTCTAGATCTTTTTTTTTTTTTTTTTTTTTTTCTTAAATCCACACCTGACAATATATTTTTATTGACTTTTTTTTTTTTTTTTTTTTTTTTTAAGAGAGAAGAGGAAGAGAGAGAGAGAGAGAAACATCAATTGGTTGCCTCTTGTATGTGCTCCGACCGGGGATCCAACTTGCAATATTTTGGTGTACAGGCTGATGTCCAACCAACTGAGCCCCCTGGCCAGGGCAGGATCTTGTGAGGGAAACTTTTTCCTACAGTAACCATAATCCAAAGTTAGGTATGTTCGCTCACTCAGTCAGCAGCAGTTTAACACCAATCCTGAGTCAAGCACTGGGGTGCAGCAGTGAGCAACGTGGACAAAAATTCCCACGTTCGTGGAGCCTCCGGTCTATTGGCCGCCTGGCTTGTCTTCTGCAGCTCCTCGAGTTTTCTTCTTAGACATGAAAACCTATTGCTTGGTGTCCTTTCAGGAAAGCATGCTGCCCTGTGCTGCCAGCTCAGTTGGTTAGAAGATCCTCCTGATACTCCAAGGTTGCAGGTTCAATCCCTGGTTAGGGCACATACAAGAATCAACCCATGAATGCATAAATAAGTGGAACAATAATATTTCTATATATGTTTCTTCCTTAAATTAATAAACAAAATTTTTTTAAAAAGAAAGCATGCCTTTTCTAAAAGCTGTTATGATAGGCTTTTGCTGTGCTTTCTTAACCCTTCCAAAACTCTAAGCCCTTCTATCTCTAGTCCTAATCCCACTGCTAGAATTCCTGCTCTCTGTCTCTTCTTACCATAGAGGTCTGTATCCTTCTATTCCCCGCCATTGTTTTCCTTTTGTCTTTGTTTTTTTAACGAAAGCCTGGATATGGCAGTCAGAGTCTCCTACCCCTGTACGCTATGATGAAATTATACAGTCACTTACTGTACCTATTTCCCTATCCATGAGGGTTAACAGACAAACGACAAGCCTTATTAGCTTTTTTTCAGAAGTTGTCAAATATCTATTAGGATATAGAGAATGGTATAATGAATCCTCATGGCCTTGTCAGTTAGCTACATGTGGCCATTCTTTTTTTTTAAATATATTTTTATTTCAGAGAGGAAAAGAGGGAGAAAAAGATAGAAACATCAATTATGAGAATCATTGATTGGCTGCCTCCAGCATACCTCCTACTTGGGATTGAGCCCACAACCCGAGCATGTGCCCTTGACCGAATCAAATCCGAGACACTTCAGTCCGCAGGCTGATGCTCTGTCCACTGAGCCAAACCATCTAGGGCTACATTAGCCATTGGGTCTATATCCCTGGCCCTCCCCTCCCATTGCAAATCTTAGATCTTCTTATATCCATAAATAGATTGAAATCTTAATTTTGATGTTGGTATTGTAGTGAAATGTTAGTTTAAAGGTTGTCAGTCATGTTGCGCATCTGCCAGGGATGAGAAGACGATTCCCTGCCTGGCTAGGTGGAGCCCTTCTGTTATAACATGGGTCACTCGGCAAAATTAAGTGGACTTGGTCTGGCTGGTTTGGCTCAATGGATAGAGCGTTGGCTTATGAACTGAAGGGTCCCAGGTTCGATTCCAGTCAAGGGCACATGCCCAGATTGTGGGCTTAATCCCCAATGAGGAGGTGTGCAAGAGCCAATCAATGGTTCTTATCATTGATGTCTCTCCCTCTCCCCTTTCCTCTCCTTTCCTCTCTGAAATAAAAGTGTTAAAATTAAGTGGACTTTATCTATAATAACAATGGAGTAATATGCTAATTAGACTGGATGTCTTCCGGACATCCTTCCTGACAAAAGCCAGGCCGGAGGGAAGCCAGCCCGGGTCCCGGGTGCCAGCCGGTGACCAGAGGAGGGCAGCCTGTGCCGGCAGCCGAGGAAAGGAAGGCCTGCCCTTGCATGAGTTCTCGTGCGCTGGGCCTCTAGTTTTATTAATAAAATAACTTTTATCATATGAAAACTCCTTTAAAAAATTATTTGTTCTGGAACCATCTCGACCTAAAGCTGCCTCATGTTTATTTCAGCAGTTGCATGCTTAAAACTTTTCTTTCTATTTGCATCTATAGGAACCCTATGAGGATGGCGTTGAGGATTATCCCACTCTATCTGAGTATGTTCAGGATTTCTTGAATCATCTTACAGAGCAGCCTGGCAGTTTTGAAACTGAAATTGATCAGTTTGCCGAGACACTGAATGGCTGGGTTACCACAGACGATGCTTTGCAAGAACTTGTGGAACTCGTCTATCAGCAGGTAGGTGGGCGAGGAGTACGTAGCGTGGGGTGGTCCTCAGGTAGCTTCCTGGGAGCCCAGGGGTGGTGGCTGCTCCCTGAGGGAGGCCGGGTTCACGTCCCCCTGCCTCTACACTTTTAAAAATATATATTTTATTGATTTTTTTTTACAGAGAGGAAGGAGAGGGAGACAGAGTTAGAAACATCAATGAGAGAGAAACATCAATCAGCTGCCTCCTGCAGACCCGCCACTGGGGATGTGCCTGCAACCAACGTACATGCCCTTGACCAGAATTGAACCTGGGACCCTTGAGTCTGCAGGCTGACGCTCTATCCACTGAGCCAAACCAGTAAAGGCCTGCCTTCACTTCTTAACTCTTTATAGTTCATGGGAGCTTTTAGGTCTTTGTTGTATAAAATTTCTATTGTTGGGGATCCAGGGCTGGAGCCAGATTGCAAAGTGTAACCAGGGCACTAGCCTGGCATTGGAAGGGGCTGCCAGCACTTATGAGGAAGGCTCCATAAGTGCCATGCCTTTGTCCCGCCCCTTTCTGTTTTGTGGGATCTGATATTAACACATTAAAAAGACTGCAGTACTTTCTCCTCGATGTTGAACAGTAGAGTATTATTGGAGTAGGGGAGAAAAAAGATCATGGGAGAATTTTTTGTCTCATAATTGGGTCCTTAAAAAAAAAAGGGGGAAACCACAGAACACCCTGTCTTGTTTTAACATTTCTGCTTGTCCTTATTTAAAACTTTCACAGATTTACATCTTAATTCTTTGGAAATCTAATATGTAGATTATTTTTTCATACAAAGTTTAGTTTTGTTGCTAGTATATTGTCACAGATACATTAATGCTATTTTAAGGAGGGAAAGTAGAAACACTATTTTTTAAGGCAAATAAGGTCAGGTAAGACTGAACAGAAACGGAGTAGGAGGGGAACATAAATAGAACCTTCGGTATTCTTTAAGTCACCGCTAAATGAGCAACGCAAACATGGAATGTATAGGAAGGGTGATTATGATAGCAAACAGGTTGGATTGTTGTTTTTTTTTTGTCAGCTAGTATCTCATTTGACTATATTTCCCATTTGTTCTGGGTTGTTACTGGATCCTACTATTACTTAGCCCAGCAGTTTTTGAGCCATTTTTTATCTCATGGCACACATAAACTAATTACTAAAATTCTGTGGTAGACCAAAAATATATTTTTTGCTGATCTGACGAGAAAATAAAGATATAATTTTGACTCATTCACGCTAGACAGCTATTGTTGTGTTGGCTATTGTCATTTTTTGTTTGACAACTTACGGGAAAAGAGGTCAGTGCCCCTGACTAAATAGTCAGGTATTGCATCATTTAAAAATCAGGGTACTTGCCACACACATCCATTGAAAATCGACCTACCCAGAAACACCTGAAACTGTAGGAAGAGAGAACCGGTCTGTTTGTCCTGATCCCTACTTTCAGCCTCTCAGTGGATTGAAAAAGAATGTGAGATAAGAAATGGAAGAATTACACTCTTGCTTAAACTTTTTCTGGTTTTTCTTCTGTCTATTCTAGCTCCTCAGGAGGCTGCCTATCATAGTTCTTAGGGCGAGCAAGGGCTGCAGCCTGACAAACACAGCTCCTGGGCTGGTCTCTTAACACATTGCGGACCAGTAGTTTTGTGGCTAGCCTTACCCAGTGGCCAGATGAGTTTCTATGGAACGAGTACAAAAAATGTTTCACATAAAGGTTAAAGGCACTCTTTAAAATTAAATGCCCATTGCATTTTGAATTATTTATTACATGTTCTTACAAGCTAATATCTTTTAAAAATTCTTCTGATTGGCCTCAAGCCTTAGAAGAGAAAACACGAGAATTCTTGTGATCCAGCTGCAATTTAACATTCTGTGGTCAGTGATAACACAGATTTGCCAACAGTTTCTAAATTCCACTGAGGGACATAGCCACTAACAAAAGAAGGCCTGTTGTAGAAAAAGAAAAATGACATTAAATATCCATATCCAACTTAGGTTCTTCCCCAAATGCCAGTAAATGACAGTGTGGGGATTTTGAAAGGCCAGAAGCCATAGGACTGAGTCGGGGAAAGAGAATGGAAGTCCAGTTTGGGGCTAGAAAGCAGGTGGGACAGTGTTAACTGACTTGGAAGATCTAAATACATTGAATTTCAAACAGGTGAGGATAGTTGAGAATCTCTCTGATTTATAATGCAGAATTTCCAAAAGACGAGGATAAGGAATGAGGCAAAAAGATTGCTGGAGAATCTTTAAAAATTAGATATTTTTACACTGAGTAGCCAGTTTGAAGTTTTATTGTAGCCCTTCTTGAGAAATTACTGAAGAAGGTACTCCAGCAAAGCAAAGGAATTAAAGGGAGGATGAAGACATGGGGACGAGGAAGTGGGAATTTTACAGATGTGTGCGTCATCCACACGGTGGTGAAGGGAGATCCCGAGACAGTAGCCATGTGCATAGCAGTCCGGAGGCCAGGCTTCCCCGGAGTGGGCCGAGGCTCCAGGAAAGAGTGCCCTGGTAGGATGAGCACAGGTGCTTCATTGGAAGATATTAAATTTACAAACTAGTGAGCTTAATAAATCAGTGAGAGAGAGAGAAAAACCAAAGTGCTAGAAAAAAAATCTAGTGTCTAGGAAAATCAGTTGTATAAGAAAGGAATAAGCATAATATGTGGTTCAGCTGTAAGTGGAAACACAAAACTAAGGAATAAAATATGGTATTACTCTATTGGAAGGTGGGAGAGTTGGGAAATAGTGGAAGAGAGTGGGATTAAGCAGGGTGAAGTCTAAATGCTCATATTCCATGGTAGGAAATAGTAAGAAGGGATGTCTAAACTGAGGGAATCACAGCTCATGCAGGCAGAGAGAAAACATGTTACCTGCAAGAATCCTAGTGGGTGTGGGAGTAAGCGAGACTAGTGGGGAAGCAGGAAGCTTTAACAGCCTGTGGGACTTGTCATTAAATTGTGTGTGATCATTTTACAAGTAAACTAAGAAAACAAGCCATGCCAATAATGGGAAGAGTAGACTTTTTGAATTTGAAATCTGAGAAGTAGGTCTTCTTGATGAAAAATGTTTAGGGTCTTGGGCAAGCAAGAAAATAATTAAAAATAAAAAGATCTAATAATTATAAAGTACTTACAGCATCCCAAACAATGCTGAACACTCGACATGTAGTTCATTCATTTCCTCCTCAGTGACTGCATGATATTATTCGTATGCCCATTTTACACTGATCTTAACAGAGAAGTGAAATGACTTGTCTGAGGTTACCACAGCTGGTTAGTAGCCCCAGCATAGAATCAGAAGGGCATCAGGACATTTGTTAGATCTGAACTCTGGTTAACTACCTTTGTGACCTTGGCTAAGTCCCTTAACTTGTATTATTTTTCTTACCTAACGTTTGGTATGAAGTATGTTCTCTACTATTTAAAGGCTACAGTGAGAGTTAAACTTCTTGAGTACTGCTTTGGCTATTTCATAGTCTTTGATATGTAGTGTTTGCTCACTGTCTCTCTCTCTCTTTTTTTTTTTTTTTTAATGGCTTGTCCATTTGAACTTCCTCTTCACCCCAGGTGTTTTGGGGCGTTCTTTGAGTGTTAATGTCACACACCAGATCCCACTAGTCACCACTTTAGGAATCAAGAAACTAAAGCTCAGGGAGGTTTCGTGATGGCCAAAGTCACAGCACAAGGCGTGGGAGCCTCACTGTGGACGACTGATGCCAGAGTCGGTTCCTCCTGTTGCTGAGAAGCAGCACAGAGCAATGTTTGGCAGATGCTCTGATTTATAACTGGCCCAGTGCAGTCGGGTACATGTACATATTTTGTGCAAACATGGGTTAGTATAAAGACATACAGTCTGCTTGCTTTCTGGGAAAAGATAGGGGGGGAACTTGCCTTAAACATTTTCTTTTGTACTTGCTCTGGCTCTTGATGTAATGCTGGGAGGGAGAGTTGACATAATTGCCTTAGGCCTGGCAGTTATAAAAGAGTTGTACATTTTTCTTTACAATATGGTTGTTTGGGGAGTAGAAATGTTTTTCCTCTCTGGGATGTTGCTGTTTGCATTAATGATGATGTCTCTGTGTCATACAAAACTTTCTTCTTTTTGAAAGGCCACGTCCATTCCAAATTTCTCCTACATGGGAGCTCGCCTGTGTAATTACCTGTCCCATCACCTGACAATTAGCTCACAGAGTGGCAACTTCCGCCAATTGCTACTTCAAAGGTCAGTGTGAATATATGAAATTAAAGGAAAACTACTTTTGAAGGTTCTAGAGTTTGACCATTCCTTTTTTCCAAAGACTATACATTAGAGAAAGTTGCAGGGGAGAAGAGAACAGACCATTCTTAATTACACAGTATTAAAAGTTTACATTTATATATATATATACACCAGTCTTTGTCTGTAGCGGTCTTTGCCTTTGGTTTTATGCTTAGAAAAGCCTTTCCCAAGTTCTTAAAAATGATCCCATGTATTTCTTAGTGCTTTTGTACTTTGGTTTAAGCAAGGATCTGATTTATTAATTGCCATGTGTTCAGCCAGTTTTTCCCATACCCCTTTTTTGAAATGATCCATTTCCCTGTTGATTTGAACTGCTTGCTACCTTTATCGCACCATATCCTTCTATTAGGGTTTTGATTCTGGACTTTCATTATATTCCATTCATCATTTGTTTTATTATTACCATGATGTTTTTTAAAAGCTCTAATTTTTAATGTCTGGTCTAGTTAGTTCCCCATTGTTTTGTGGAATTTTTCTTGGCTGTTGCATGCTTTTTTCCTCCAGTGAACTTCAGAATCAGCATGTGAAATTATATAACTCTTGTTGGTATTAGATTTTTTTGGGATGACACTGAATTCATAAACTAACTTGGGGGAACTAACTTTCTTATAATTTGAGCTTTATTCAATGACAAGGTTGTCTGTGTTTATTATAGTTTGCACATTAGTTCTTTAGAGATACTTTAAATGGTTGCACAGTGTGGTTAGCCTGCATGGGGACAGAATGAAGATGCAGAAGTAACTTCAGCAGCACATGGGGATCAAGCTTACTGCTGGCGGCTCAGGTCCACATGCACGAGAGACACAGCTGGGGAGTAACAAAGCAAAGATGGGCTCCTGTCTCTTCCCATCAAAATGTATTTCAGATACAACAGAGATTTAAATAGAAGTGAGACAGTAAATACTAGGCAGAAATTGCCAACAAAAACCGTAGGCTGATAAACCCTTTTAAACAAGACATGATTCCCATAGACCCTGATGCAAGAGATTAAACTTAATAGCACAGAGGTTATAATATTTGGGGGGGGGGTCATAAGTTTATATGAACTAAAGTAAAAATAGGAAAATATATATATTACACATGGTAATGACCTCATTTATTTCATACTAGAGGCCCAGTGCATGAAATTTGTGCACTTGGGGGATGGGGGTGGGGTCCCTCAGCCCAGCCTGCACCCTCTTGCAGTCCAGGAGCTGTCAGAGTCGGACATCCTTAGTGCTGCAGTGGAGGCAGGAGAGGCTCCCACTGTCACTGCTGTACTCGCCAGCCATGAGCCTGGCTTTGGCTGAATGGTGCTCCCCCTGTGAGAGCACAACGACCACCAGGGGGCAGCTCCTGCGTTGAGTGTCTGCCCCCTGGTGGTCAGTGCACATCAAAGTAACTGGTTGTTCTGCCATTCGATTTGCATATTAGCCTTTGATTATATAGGATGAAAAGGGGCCTATTAGGAATGAGAAGGAAAAGACCAGTATTTTAATAGAAATATTTGGAATGGCTCTGAATGGGTACAGTTTGGAAAAATATAAATGGCAAAGTTATGAAAAGATAATCTAACCTTCCCTGTAGTTAAGGAAATGCTAATTAAAGCTTCTGGAAAGATGTGAGAGCAGGCACTTCCGGGAGTAGGCTGGAAGGAAAGTGGTCCATCTCCTCTGCTGCTCAGCCTGGCCACGCAGTGAAACTGGGCTGAGCCCCGCCTCACGCTGGGAAATGCCAGCGTGGTGGGCTGAGTTTGTTAGGACTCTCCAGTGTAGCTGTGGTTGAGAAGCCTCTTCCAACTCTATGACTCTGCCCCCATGTGTGCTTCTGCAGTATTGACACTGTCAGATGTCAACACAGAAAATGCTAATCATACAACTAGTGAGAAGCAGGGCACAGTCTACTACCTAGCTTCAGGGTGTGTACACACTTGAGGAAGACAGAAGTTTACCTCACAGCAGTTTTTTCTGGGTTGCAGTGACTTTATTCTTTATTTTTCTCTGCTGTAACCTTTCTGAAATGAGCATGTGCTACTTTTATAATTGAAATTCTTAAGCTTAAAAAGGTTTAGGTTCTTTTCTCTCACCCAGATAATCAGTCATGTACAGGAGTAGGAATTTACTTTTGCACATACATTCACATATCTTAATGCCGAATAGCTTAGCATTTATAAAACAAAAGGAGGTCATTTCAAAGATTTTTACCTGCAAAGTCATAAAAGAAAGGTCAGAGAAGGTGCCTGAATAACGGAATTGGCATTAATTAACTAATCCTTTCCATTATTAACCACAGTGTTCTATTTATAGATATCCCAACTTTTTCCTGGTGAGGAATTAATATGTATGAGAAGGTAACAAATACCTCTGTCTCTGACTCACACAGAGATGTTGCTCATTTAATGCAGCAAGTGAGCATTGGAATCAGCCACACAGGGCCCAGTAAGCTGTCCTGGGTGTCTTTATGTATTAATTTTAAATATATTTTTATTGAATTCAGAGAGGAAGGGAGGGGGGGGAGAGAGAAAAACATCAATAATGATGAGAATCAATGATCGACTGCCTCCTGCATGCTGCCCCCTTCTGGAGATCGAGCCTGTAACCCCAGCATGTACCCTTGACTGGAATCAAACCCAGGACCCTTCAGTCCGCAGGCTGACGCTCTACCCACTGAGTGGCGTAGATGCTTATGTAGGTGGGTTCCGATCTCCGATTTAACCCAAGGAGTGCCTGTAATTGTTGTTATGAGTCTATTCAATTGGGGACTTCCCTTTTCTCTGATCTGTATACTGGAAGTTACAAGAATAATGGGCTTAATAAGAATTCATTTTATTTTCAGTGTAGTTGGAGGCCATATTTATCTATTTTAAAAAATCTGTTTCAAAGTTCATGTATTAGAGAACATTTTACAGACAGCTTGGATAAAAACAGTGCCAGTATTATGTGAACTTCATAAAACCTATGTTGTTAAACTTGCTACAACTCGATCTCATAGGTTTATTTTCAACTATCTTACCAGTTTCTTAAAACTGTCATCTCAGTAAGAGAAGATAACGTGTAGTCTGGCCTCTACACTAGACAGGAACATGTTTGTTATAGAAAGTCAGGGCCGTGGCGCATTTTACTTGCCTCTGTATTGCTTGTGGACAACCAGACCAACAAATGGTCATCTTGTGTGCCTGTTTAAAACACAAAGCAGTGTGAGATTCTAAAAGGCTTATCTCTGTTAGGTGTCGGACTGAATATGAACTTCGAGATCAAGCTGCAAAGGGGGATGAAGCAGCTCGAAAACGATTCCATGCGTTTGTGCTCTTCCTGGGAGAACTTTATCTTAAGTTGGAGGTGAGGAGTCTCTTTCTTTTGTTAAGTACTTGTGTTTAGTGAAGCTTGTGAACAAATTGATCTCCATAAGGAATTGTGTTTACGTTACTTTTACAACATAAGAGGGAAATGGGAGAGAAATGACAACTCGGTGCCTGTCTTCCTGTTGAAGGGCAGGTGCTGGGAAGTAGTGCTGAGCATTGGAAAGTCTTCCCGTGCTTTTGGGAAGCCTCAGTGCTCCATGGGTGTCTGAGTGTTTAACATGTGTAGACATGGGTGCTTCTTTGTGTTCTTGCTTCAGGGACATGTGTTCTTGTTAGTACATGTAACATGTTGACATTCAGATGGTGGCTGAAAAACAACTTGACCTACAGGCCATAAAGGGAAGAGACTAGAGTTTGGTTTTTATACCCAGTTTGTCCAGATTAGGTCTTGGTCCCGTTTTATAATATATGTTAATCTTCCACATAAAATGCATTTGTACAAAGGGTACTGCTAAACTTGTTTGTAAATTGGTGGTATGTGAACATATGCTTGTTAGTATGCAACTTAAGTCGAGATAGTGCTTTGTAAAGGATATTCAATTTGTTCTTCGACTAGTTAGTCCTGACTAGTTAAGTCTCAGATGCAGGTTTATCTGTGTAAGCCTGAAATTGGGGACTTAGCACCATAAACACTACTGAAAAGACAAGAATCCACCGTCAGGTGTGTGTCAGGGCATCTACAAATCTACGGCCAATCCAGTGCCCATTTACTGCCTCTTTTTATCACAGACGGCTCAGGTTTATAAAACTTTCACGTCTTAATCTTTTCTATTCTATGAGCCACAGGAGCACCAGTACAAACGTGCCTTCAGTGGAGAGCCATTTAAGATGGCTGTGTTCCTCCTTGGAAGTGCTGGTGCTGTGCGGGGGAGTGGGAAGGCCAGGCCTGGCCTTCGAGCCTGAAGTTCTCCCAGCCAGAGAGCCAAGACACGTAGGCCGTTCTCATGCAAAACGAGAGAATTTGTGAACAGTGTATGAACAGCAGATAAAATGCTGTGTGTTCCCCGCACACGGGGTAGGAAGCTTAGACTAGAGATGCTTCATGAAGCAGTTACATTCAAGGAGGCTTACATTATCCAGACCACGCATTACGTATAAATGTAATATAAACGAAAAATTTGACCTATAATTGACTAGTTTTATTAGAAATTTGTTATATGTAAGGTAAGCCTAATTTTGTGAAGATACAGAGTGGATCTCTATGATTTTTGTTTCGTTTTAATGTAAAGTGCTTATTTTGCCAACACTTTGTTAGGTCATTTATATCTGTGTTATGTTTTGGCATAGTTGCTGTTCATTTTCTTTTGTCCCCAAAGATCAAAGGAACAAATGGACAGGTTACAAGAGCAGATATTCTTCAGGCTGGTCTTCGGGAGTTGCTGAATGCCCTCTTTGCTAACCCTGTAGATGATAATCTAATTTGTGCAGTAAAATTATTGAAGGTAGGTTTTACTTAATTTCTTAAAGTGTAACGAACTGTTCTGCCCCTTCAGCATATAATTTGGAGAGAGGAAAGTGTATATATAATACACAAATGAATTCAACATAGTTATTACATTAGATGTTGACATTTTATTTTGCTCTGGAATTTAAATATATTAGAAAAGCAATGCATGCTTCTTTAATGTAAGACGTGGATTTTAAAAGTGAAAAATGGGATTTCTTCGCTATGCCCCGTCCTTTCCCACGTCTGTAGGGTGTGCAGGAGGCAGCTGATCAATGTTTCTAACTCATCGATGTTTCTTCCTCTCCCTCTCCCTTCCTTTCTGTAAAAAATCAATAAAATAATTTAAAAGAGAGAAAGAGAGAGAAAAAAAAAAAGAATGCTTGTGGTAGGGAAGAATGCTTGAAGTTCTATTATAATTTTAGAATATCAATACTTGAATTCTTTCTTTTATTGATCCCTGTGTCTTTTAGTTGACAGGGTCAGTGCTGGAAGATGCCTGGAAGGAAAAGGGAAAGACGGACATGGAAGAAGTTATCCAGAGGATTGAAAATGTCGTCCTGGATGCGCACTGCAGCAGGTAGGAGAAGGAGGTGGTCGCCAGGGAGCCTAGTCCTTGCTTTTCCTTTAATCAGCTGTGCTTCATCAGAACAATTGAAATCTTAGAGATTCATCCACAGAAGCCTCTTAAAGGCACAGTATTTCACTAGGTAGATTCTGCTCACCTGGCCATCTTTCTTCAGTTATTCAGTAAATGCCTAGGGGAAGTGCTACTCTCAGTCTAGTAAGAAACAGAAATGCTTGCAGGATGGCCACTGCATTAAAAACCATATAGTTAGTTACATGGAACAAATTTCAAGGCCTTTTTTTTTTTTTTTTTTTAAGGGTAAATTGGTGAAATGGTGGTAGGGTCTGGTATCTTAGAGCCTGACAACAGGGTGGGTACGCTCACTCCCTGTCTGCCTCTGTCTGCAGAGACGTGAAGCAGATGCTCTTGAAGCTCGTAGAGCTCCGGTCGAGTAACTGGGGTCGAGTCCACGTGACCTCGACATACAGAGAAGCAACGCCCGAGAATGACCCCAACTATTTCATGGTATGCCAGTGTTTGCTGTTCAAATGTTGCTTATTGCTTGAATTCGACTTTGGAAATTTCTTCGAGTTACATAAAGCCATTCCCAGGATTTATTGCCTACTAAGTCTTCAGTGGCTTAGGGTCCCTGGCAGCAAGCAGAGCAGGTAAATAGAAGAGACTTGGGTTCCTCCCATGGAGGGTGGACTAGAGAAAGATCCACCCAGTGGCCAGGGAAATTATGAGACTTGGACTTAAGTGAGTGTAGGGGTTCCAGGAAACTGTTTTCCCAGGAAATTCATAACCAAGCCTACAGTTCAAACTTTTACTTTGTATATATGTTGTCATAAAGTAAACTAAGAAAATAAAAACGTTTGCCAGGCCAGTGATTCCGGAAGCTCCCAACATGACCAAACAGCAGTTTTGGAGGAACTAAAGCCAGGTGCACGGGTTTGTGTACTGGTGGGGTCCCTTGGCCTGGCCTGTGGGGATTGGGCCAAAACCAGCTCTCTGAAATTCCCTGCAGGGTTCTGGTTTGCTAGAGGGTGCAGGCAGGCAAAGGGACCTTGCCAGTGTACAACTGGAGCTGGGGAGGGGCCACGGGAGGGCTCCAGGGTGTGTCCGGCCCATCTCGCCCAATCCCCAGCAGCTGGACCCCAGCAGCAAGCTAAACTGCCAAGGTTGGAGCATCTGCCCCCTGGTGGCCAGTGTGCATCATAGCAATTGGCCAAACAGTTGGACGCTTAGCATATTATGTTTATTACATACGACTAGGGGCCCAGTGCACAAATTCGTGCACCTTGAAAGGAACTATGGACCATAGTGGGCACAGGGACAGGTCTTGGCCCATCCTTTGCGAACTGCCCTCGCGCCCCCCCCCCCCCCCCCCCGCCGTCCCCCCCCCCCCCCGCAATGGACCCCAGTCCTGTCTATCAGAAGCCCCATTTACACCACCACTCCCACACTGATGGCACCAACCCCACTCGCACCAGCTGATGGCACGGAAAGTGGATTGGGGCCAGCTGCCCTGATTGCCTCTCAGTAGCAAGGGGAAGGTAGAGAAGCCCTGTGGGGCGATCAGGGCTGGTGCCGGGCACTGGCAGCAGGTGCGAGTGGGGCTGGCGCCAACATCAGGTGAGTGCCAGGCCAGGCCACGGTGTGCTGGAGCAGAGAATTTTCAGTAATCACCAAAGGTTTGCCGCAGTGACAGCAACCAGCAACCCTCCTTGGTCTGGCTCCCCCACTCACCTGCTCCACCATCCAGCTTTGGGCGCCTGCCACATTCCACGCCCTACCACCTGCTGCCAATGCCCACAATGTTCCGTGCATGCCCTCTGATGGTCAGCGCGTGTCATAGCGACCAGTTGTTTGGTAGTTCTGTTTCCACATGAGGGTTTTAGATACATAGATTGTTCCTACAACCCCGTCTCAGAGAAAAATGGTGGGAAGGGGGAGCCAAAACTAAATGAGTGGATGCCGAGTCATGCTGCACAGCAGAACAGTTCACTGTGAGTGACAGGCCATAGACAGTGTGAGAACCAGAACTCGAGATAATAGCATGAATCAAGAGCAGAGATGTTTGCTTGTTCTTGTGTTGCATTATCGGGTGCAGCTGGGTGGCATCAGCCATGCTTCATTGATAATGAGCTTATAAAGAATCGATTGTGAGAGGATGACATGTTTTTGTCACTTTGTTTCATCCTAGAATGAACCAACATTTTATACATCTGATGGTGTTCCTTTTACTGCAGCTGATCCAGGTATCTTGTCTTGCAGTCTTTCCCCCTGGTCTTTGGTAAGATAGGAAATTACAGAAAATCATCCCTTCACTAGCACTGAACTGTAGCTTTTCAGAGACATGCTAATTTTACAAGACATAAGGCAGGATATCAGCCCTTTGAATGGCCTGGGTTTGTGCAGAATGGATGAGTGAGGGGCGTGAATCCCATCTTCCTGCTTCAAAGGGCCCAATACCTTTCTTTCTGACCTGTGGGTTTTCAATCCAAGCCCCTCTGTACCACGTGGTCCACAGCCTCCCAGCTGCTATAAGGATGTGTGGCTTTCAGTTCCCTCTCGTTTCTGTCATCGGGTGACTGGATGATTTTTGTGAACTCTGTACACTTAAAAGAATGTTTCTTACCTGTTAGCTCAAGTATTTGTTGCAGGGAGGCTTTATAATTTAAAATGGTCTCCAAATTGCCAAAATGGAATGCCAAAATATTGCCAGTCCTTTAGCTGGAATTCATGTTTTTAGAAACTGACAATCTTGGGAAAAAACATCTTTAATCAGTCAAGTATAATTATATTATCCTCTTGAAAACTGAGGTAGCTGTTGTTCACAGGAAACTGCTTTTAAGGTAACTAGTTTTAATACACACTGATCCATTTTATTGTTCAAAGGTAAAGACTACACAGACATGCCAATCCTACAAGGTACTCAGGCATTGTTCTTAGGCAGTTGGCAGGTGGAGAGCTATTCTGTCACCTGCATTGCCTCGGAAGCGCCCACTGAGGGGCAAGGGGTAGAGCTGAAACATTTATTACGTAGCTGCCTCCCAGCTGTCTCTAGGACAAGGGAGAAAAGAAGATGCCCTATGCTCGGAGCCCGTGTTCGGGTGGCCTCCACTGACGGGAACATGGAAAAGTGGCTGTTCCCTGCCAGCCAGATCACTTTACCTCCTTGGGGAGGACAGCAAAGCCCAGAAGCCAGGATGTTTGATTGAAATCTCTCCTTGTGGAAGGAACATAGGAGAGAATGGAGAACACGTGTTCTTCCCCACAGACTAGATAGCCAGTATTTTGTCTGATGGAAAGAAGCAGGAGAGACTATAGATAGCATACCCATAACCTGTGAAATGTCCTCTGGTGTATGCACAGTGGCTCTGATTTCCAACTTACATTTAGAGGAATATTTGTATAAATTAGAGTCATGAGGATGCAGGGGGCAGAAGCCAGCCAATTAGAATAGATTTTGTAAAAGCTATTAAATTAAGCCAACTTGCTAGATGAATAAACATAGCTTACTGATGTTCAAACATTGGATCTCCTTAAATGAAAAGTCAGAATGTTAAAATTTCTTTAGGAAAAACTGGCTAATACATATTTCCTGTGAATTTTCCCAGCATTAAAATTTTTTCTTTATTTTCATTTTTCTCAGATTACCAAGAGAAATATCAAGAGTTACTTGAAAGAGAAGACCTTTTTGCAGATTATGAAGAAAATGGAACAGATTTATCAGGCGCTGGTGATCCGTAAGTTCTCTTTAGCTACTAACTTTATTTGTGAATTTTCTGTGGCCACAGCTTATAGAATTTAGACTGGAAAAAAAGCAGATAATGAAAGAATGTGCCTTTTGATTAGATGGTATTATAGTGGCATGTAAGTAGTACTTATTTACAAAAATTTTCCACATAATCATGTTGGAAAACACATGAACTATGATTAAAAAAATATACAAAACTATGATTTTAAAAATGTTTCTATAGTGGAGTCCTGACAGGGAATCGAACCATGACCTCCAGTTCCTAGGTCAGAGCTCAACCACTGAGCCAAACCAACCAGGCTTACACATTTTCTCCCTGGAAAAACAGTAGGCTTAAGAGTCATCTTTGCTTCTTTCACAGGTACTTGGATGATCTTGATGATGAGATGGACCCAGAGATAGAAGAAGCTTATGAAAAGTTTTGTTTGGAATCAGAGCGTAAGCAAAAACAGTAAAGTTAAATTTCAACGTATCAGTTTTATAAAGCAGTTTAGGTTATGGTGACTTAGCAGAACACAGGAAAACAGGAAATTGTGTCACACTTATACCAAATTAAGGATGTTGAGTTATGTTACTAATGTATGCAACTTTAATTTTAACATTCTCTGCCAAAATAAACTTTATCCCCTATAACTTAAAATGTGTATATATATATAAGATAGTTTATTATGTACAGTTAATTCCACTGTTTTGGCTGCAATAAAATCGATTTTGAAATAAATGAAATGTTGAAAGTAAGTTTTGCTAGCTGATTAGAAGCTTATCCTTTAAATTCAGCTTTTCTTGAAGGAAAAAGTCTTAGTGTGGAAATACATAATACTGCAAAAATGTAGCATCCTTTTGAAAGATATGAGTATATAGCTTTCATTTAGTTTTACATTGAGTGTCTCAATGAATTGGGTTTCAAATATGAGTCACAATCATAAAAAAATCTCTGGCACTAAAGTCTTAGAATATATAATTAATTTATTTACATATCCAGTTATTTGATACCAAGGGCTTTTAAAATAGAGTTAGAACTTACAACTAAACAACCAAGATTCTTCACTGAGGATACATTGCAATTCTAAAGTGTTCAAATTTTTCACCTGATTTCATTACCCCAAAGTCCAGGACATTATTCTACTTTATTTATATGGCTTTCTCATTTTTATTTGGTAGCATGAGTTGCATTGACTTTTTTACTAGAGAATTTTGCTAGATCTTTGTCACTCAAGTTTTCATCTGCTTTGTAATTGATATACCTTGAGGATCACTTTTCTAATACTTTTACTATAATGTGGTACCACCTCAGTCCTATTTTTACCTAATGTCAAAAATCTTTTTCCGACTAACCACAAGTAAAGCTTATGTACAAAAGGATTGCTTGTAAATATGCATGTAAATAGTTCTGTTAATAACCCACTGTTTCACATTTGGTACACCTGTGTCTGCTACTACAGTTAGCTTTCTCCCTTTTCTGCTTGTTTGTTCAGTCTGGATTAAAATTAGTCTTTGAAAATAAAATTGAAATAGTTTTGTTTTCTCTAAGTTTTTGGAGTGGTATCCTGGTATTTTAAAGAATCTGTTGTGAACTTTTTTATATGATATCATAAAATTATGATTTGAAATCAGAGAAACTACTAGGATAGCAGATTCTCTATTCAATGTCTTTTTAATAAGACTTCAGTTCAGTAACAAGTCTAGTTGGGAAAACTAGCAAATGTAAAACATTGAAACTTTAGAATCTTCATTGCAAAAGGGAAATATACAGGCTAGGGCAAAATTAATAATACAAGAATGAACTGTTTCACATACAACTGTGCACCTATTTTTGCCCCACCCAGTACATGCAATTTGGGGGTTTTGGAAATTGTAATAGAAATCTTTTTTTTTCCCCAAATGGCTCCTATAATGTGGTGGCTGTTACCTTATCTGCAGTTCTCTAAAGACTGCTCACTGTATATATAGCTCAGAGGCAGTGGAAGGCAATGTGGGGACGGGACAGGACATTAGACCGGGGGCCAAGTATATGCTAACGGAATGCTTTAACCTTGTAGCATTTGCTCTGAGAATAACACCCAGTTTTGTCCGCTAGCTCATCATCATTACCCCTGCTCTACTAACAGCCTCCAACAGGGTCAGTATGCTAGTATGTTCCACTTACTGGTGCTGCTTTAAAAGCCACCCAAACTTATGTTTTCATACAGTAAGCATTGTATTACGCTCAGGGGTCCTGTGGCTCAGGAATTGGGACAGGGCACAATAGGGATGGCTTTTCTCTATTCCACAATGTTTGAGGCTTCTGCTGGGAAAACTAAGGACTCAGGGCTGTGACTCCCTGGCGTGTTCTTCACTCACGTGGCTGATGACTGGAGATGTTGCTAAGCCCAGAGTAGACAGGAGGCCATCAAGGAAGGTGTGGCCATGTTTTAACACTGCAGCAGCACATACAGGAAACTTTGCTCCTGTGCTACAAGTGTTGGCCTTTATACTGCCATATCTACAGAAATAACGGGTCAGTAAGCCTTTAGTCAGGATTATCTGTGCAATAATAATTGCCACAGTCTCCTGGCAATAAAGTACAAACACTGGTCTGAACCTGGCAGTCATGTAAACAACTCAGACCCTCTGTCTGCTTGCAGTTCCCTTCAGCCAAACACTATCAGGAACACAGCTGTTCCTGCACATGCTGGACTCATGTAGTAAGGCAGAATGTCTTCCATGGCAAATTGTGGGTTGTGTCACTAAGGGGAGTTAGAAATAACCTATTATAGGATTTGGGTTTTGGCTGGATAATTTGGGAGAGAATCTTAAGAAATGAGGTTCACTCTAGACCAGTGGTTCTCAACCTTAATGCCGCGATAATACAGTTCCTCATGTTGTAGTGACCCCCAACCATAAAATTATTTTCATTGCTACTTCATAACTGTAATTTTGCTACTGTTATGAATCGAAATGTAAATACCTGTGTTTTCCAATGGTCTTAAGCGACCCCTGTGAAAGAATCGTTCGACCGCCAAAGGGGTCGTGACCCACAGGTTGAAAACCGCTGCTCTAGATGTTATCAGAAAGCAAGGACAATTCTATGATTGGATATTTTATTAAATCTTATTGGGAGACAGGTATAGGTTAAAATGTAACTTGTTCCTTAAAAAAATAGTCACATTTCGCAAGAGAGGAGGATGCTTTGCTTGGTATGAAAGTAAGAAGTCCAGGATTGAAGGACTGAAAATTGGTTCAAACTGAAGAAAAAAAGTCCTGCTGTTAACCAGGCTGGGAGGACAGACACAGAATTAGCAGAAAGTCATGCAACAACTAGGAAATGTCATGACCCCTTCTCTCTGTGTGACCTCTGTTATGCTGACAATGACATCTCCAGGCTTATGTGCTGTCCTCACCCACCTATCACTGAGGATTGCAGTTGCTAAACTGCCCTCTCTCATGAGAATACCCAGCCTCCTCTTAGTCCCACTGCAGAAACAGCATCCAGCCCAGTCTCCCTCAGAGCTGCTCAGCATCCTTCAGCAGGAACCCAGACCTCACCCAAAAGCTGAGTGCTAATCAATCATGACTTCTTCAGAGTGAGCCTTGCTTGCAAGTCAGTACGATTTTGTCAAACTGCAGGCTTGAGCCTAGGGGTCTTTGGCTGACTTTAGCAGATGTAAATAATTTAAGGTCATGTACACTACCGCCATTTGCAACAGCCTGGCAAGACACCAAACCTGTATGAACCCTACACTGACTGCAGGCAGACAGCTGGAGGTCATATTTCTGGTAGGTTTGTACCCCTGTTAACTAAGTCCTGGGCTGTCAGCCCTGCCATTAGCACACTGTTCACGCCTCCTTTCAACCCTCTCCACTCCATCTGCCCCTAACTGATGACTTGCTTCACAGGATAAAAAAAAAAAAAAAAAGCACAAATCATAAATACCTGGAACTGTTTTTAACTTCTACCCTCCCCCTCAAACACGTTCGATCATTACCAAGATTATATAGTTTATCTAGATATTTCTTGGAGGTGTGATCTCCATTCTCACTGCCCAGTCTCAATTTTCATCTCTCTTGTTTTTCAAAAGCGTTCTATTGGGTTCCCACATATGCTCTTGCATCCATCCTACAATCCATTCTTCACTCAGCAGTTCCAGGAATATTTCTAAAGTACAAATGGCATCGCAAACCCCGCGGCTGTAAACAATTTATATATGGGAGGACCTGAGATATTAGAGAGGGAAAAGGTGGGAGAGGGATAGGACCTAAGTTAGCCCCGTGTAATACAAACCAGAGTCATAGATCAATGACAACTGGGTTGTCTAAGGATGCCCTTGTACTTTACATAGGGCAGAGGTCAATTTGTGTATCAATCTTTTGAAAATGGAGATGAATTTAAGGAGTCAGATTTCTCATCCCTTTGCTCAAAGCCCCTAGAATAGTTGACACCATTGCTTTTAAGATCAAGTCCACCATCCATAAAGTCATCCTGATCTCGTCCCTCCCTATCTTGTAGCTCCATTTCAGGCTTATCAGCCCTGAAGGCCTCTCTTTTCTCTTTAATCACCCTTAAACCAAACTGGTGTTCCGGCCTCAGGGCCTTCACACAGGCTGTTACCTCAGCTGGGAACACTTCTCTATCTGGTTAATACTGAAAGGGTTAGCTAGCTAGGTTATTAGGCAGGTTTAAAAACTTTTAGGAATTAAAAGGTGTCTGGGGGAAGGAGTATCTGATGGAGACTTGAAGATGTCAGGGTGTTTTATCTTGTACAGAGAGTAGAGAAATGGAATAGGCAAATAGAAATATAAACCAAAAGGCATCTCGGGCCTGAGCCATGAAAGTGACCATAAATTAAGCCAAAAGTAGCCCTGACCTGAGTAGTTGGAGGGCCATGAGGCTTTCTCTGCCAACACAGCTGGGAGAGCTGTAAGATCAATCAACATTGACTCCAGCCAACAAGGTAAGAGGGGATTGGGGGACACCAGGTGGGCTTTGAGCTTTGAAAACTAACTCTGTAGCACAATGACCAGTAAGAAGGAAGAGGTCGAGTTCAGACCAAGAACTGCAGCCCATTGAATGCCTCAAGACAAACAGAGCAGCGGGCCCTCTGTCCAGTCTAAGAGGGACGGCGTCTCAGGCTCAGAATTCAGACTTAGGTTTTAGAGGTAGTATCTGCTTGCAATCAAGTTTCTGTACTTTTCACCTAACACCTTGTGCCTGTGTCATTCTGCTTCGAAACCATCGAGACAAGAACCAGGAATTCAGGGCGTTCCAGGTCAATTTTCACGTTTCCATACCTACTTATCCTTTTGTATTTCAGTGGGAATACTTCCTCGGCCCAGGTTGGGTCTACCCATTATCTGCAGTCACAGACAACTCTGTTTTATTCCAGGAACACTTACCACAACTCCATCAAACTATTGCCTAGTCGTTTCCTTCCGCTTACTCTCTAGTTGCCATGCTGGACCCTGGGTCCTCCCCGCTCTCCCCAGTGCGCCCAGCACTAGCACGTCTCTGGGGATCCATGACTCATTTAGTGACAATAAACCAACAGGCCAGGCCAGTGTCCTGGCTGCTTAGATGAAGGAGTAGATACACAACTGAGACAAGTTTCCTGGCAACAGATTAGAAGAAAAGTCTCCGCCTTTGGCCAGGTTCTTCCCCAACAGCTTTTCTGAGGTGTAACTGTCGTTTAGGTTCCTTAAGAAAGCGTCCCTGCACTGACACCCCCGCGCGGGAAGCTCCCCGGAACCTCACGACGCTCCAGACTCAGGTTTCACCGCAGCCGGGCCGGACGGGTCCGTGTGGCGTACCGGAAGTACGCCCGGAAGAGGCGGGGACCAGATTCCGGCCCGGGACCCTCTCCACCCTCAGCGCTTCCCCTACTTCCGGTTCCTCACTTCTCCGAGCGCGGCAGGGGCGGGACTTCCTGCCTGGCTCGCCCCTTGGGGGCGGGAAGGTTTGAATCGCCGTTGTTGGCTTCCGTTTTCTCTCCGGGGCCGTCGCTAGCGCTCCCCCCGCCCAGCCCCTCCGACCTGGGGCCTTATCGCCCTGCGGCTGTGATTGTTTTTCCTCGAGCAGCTTCACGCGTTAAAATCCCGAACAGGTTCCTGGGGAAGCCGCCGTGGGCAGGCGCAGACGCTGCGGTTCGTGCCACTTGGCAAATCCAAGCGCCAGGGCTGCTGATGGGCCTCGTTTCCACGGCTTCCCAGCCCGGCTGCTGTGAGTTCCAAACGCTGGCTGCCTGGGTGAATTTCCATTGTCACTAGATGAGGCATTTTGGCAGAGTCAGGTTCCCCCGGATGTCAAGAACAGGCTTACGGCTTTTTGATCGTTAAACAGACATAATGTGCTGAGTGTTGTGGCTGGAAATGTGGACTGGGCGGATTTATGATGTGCCAGGAACTTTATACATTCTATTGTGTATTCTTTTTATTTTATTTTTTAAATCACACCTCATTAAGCTGTTTATAAAAAATAAATAAGTAACCAGGCTAAAAATAGAGACATTTTCCCAATTGTTATCAGAAAATCTTCTATTCCTTTTTTTTTTATATGCATCTGTTTATTTGTTTTTTGTTTCCTGAAATAGCAAGTAGACATCATATATATATATATATATGTATGTATATATATATATATGATGTCTACTTGCTATTTATATATATATATATATATATATATATATATATATATATATATATTTATAGGGTGTGTCCCCGCAAAATGTATACACTCCTTAACAGTTGATAGCTCAATTTTGAAACCGAAATGTATTTTAATAAACACTGCCTTTATAATTATTCAAAGTGTTTGTGTACATTTTGGGGGGACACCCTATATATGGCTATGAATATTGCCGTTTAACAAGTATGTACACAAGTGGCGTAAAGAGGTTGGTATCAGCTGGGTTGTGGAAAGTTACCTACGACAGCGATACTGGAAATGGATTGGAGGGGAAGGAGCTGGAAAGAGGCCCCAGATGGTTGCAGGAATTGAGGGAGAGTTAATGGCCAGAAGCAGAAGAGGAGGGGCCAGGTTCATGAGAGACAAAATCAACAGGACTTGTTTTAAGAGTGTGGAAGGAAACAGAATGAGAAGTCACATATTGCTAACATTGAGATACCATTAACTCAAATTGCACATTCAAGAAAAACAAGATTGCCCTGGCCTATTTGGCTCAGTGGAGAGAGCATCGGCCTGTGGACTAAAAGGTCCCAGGTTCGATTCCGGTCAAGGGCATATACCTTGGTTGCAGGCACATCCCCAGTAGGGGGTGTGCAGGAGGCAGCTGATGGGTGTTTTTCTCTCATCTATGTTTCTAACTCTCTATCCCTCTCCCTTCCTCTCTGTAAAAAATCAATAAAATATATTAAAAAGAAAAGCAATTTTTTAAAAAATTTACTTATTCATCATTAAGTAAATCTTTGTTCCACCCTTATTATTGGCCAAGTATATATGCCAAGGGTACAAAATGTGAATAAAACAAACGAAGTCTCTGTTCTGATGTAAGTTTACATCCAAGTGGAAAAAGAAAAAAAAAATGAATAAGTAAAATCAGTTCTGACAGTGATAGATGCCATGAAGGAAGATGACATGGGTAAAAAGTGGCTGGGAGATGGTTGGGAGCAACTTTTATTGATCTTCTACAAAGTGCCATCCATAATACTAGGTACTATCGTGTGTGTGGGTTGTCTCATTGACCCTCACAACAATCCTGTCCCTATCCCCATTTTACAAATAAGGAAACAGAGGACCTGACGCTTATAGCTAGTCAATGGTGGGTTTGATGGAACCCATTCTCTAATTCCATTTCCATCATCCCTTTATGGAAAGTGTAGGTGAAGACACAGTCACTTTGGAATGGAGAAGAGGAAATCGAAACAAGTGAGACGAGGATGACACTAAGACCCAGGAGGTTAATGAGTGTTTTCAGTAGTGACATGAGGATACCTCTTTAATGCTGGGCTAGGGACAAAAACCCAGGTATGTATGCTTTTCTTTTAGATCTAATCGTTACTTTTGGTCTGCCCTTTCCCTCTATTACAAACGATTTGCTGTATTCTTATTGCAAAGGTGGAATTTGCTTGTTACTCGAAATGAGATACTAAATATAGAATTTTCTGAAATGGAACTTCAGGAGAAATAAAGCTTCTAAAATTATACAGGCAGTTACAACGTGGTGGACTGTCTTCTACCTCTGTTACGTTTCCCCTCTGGAGTAAAGCCTTAGGGGTTACTCCGGGCACTCTGTCAAGGATGCTAATCTCAAATCATTTACGTGTGTCCAGTAAGATCAATTTTTCTCCCACAAAAGTAGATGCAATGGCAGTGTGTTTTACTTACGTTCTTAGGAAATGCACCAGCTTATTGGGTAGAACTTTTGTACGTTTAGGAGAACGATTTGTGCCCCTGTTCCCTGTTCCCCTCAGTCTCTGCCTCGGAAGGACATTGTATCCACAGTCACAGTGATGGCGGCCGAAGTGAGGATGGTGCTTTACGAAGACGATTCTGTGCACGTACAGTATGCGGACGGCTCCAGGCTGCAGCTTTCTCCCTGTGGCTCTGAATTTTTATTTGAAAGGGCACCTCCTGTGTCAGCACATCCTTTAGAACAACCAGAAAGAATCCGTCAAAGGACACACTTTGTTATTAGCACTTACCGAGTAAGTAAAGATGACACAAACACTACTCTTTCAATGCTGTTGAGGTGGACGGGATGTGGAAGTAATTGGGATGCAGGATTGCTCCATACCAAATGGATTTTCAGTCCTTTTTTAAGATTACATTTGTATCTTTTTGTAGGAGCAACTACAGAGAGCCCTAGATTTTCGAAACTCTTTCGCCACTTGCCCTTTTTTATCTGAAAACATTATACCTCCTGAAAGAAAAAAGGTAATTTTCTAAAACTAATTTTTGTTTAAGATTGGAGGACAAGCAATTAGAAATAGGTAGTTTAATATTTAGCCTTTTTTTTTCATGACACTTGGGAATAGACATGTTGCTGTAGAATGAATGCATAGTCACTTGGCATTCACTACACTGGAGTTCTCATGTTTTGCATACTGATTGAGACGCAGAAGTTACATAATTCATTAGCCTGTCTTTTTCTTTGTAGCTAGAGAGTCTATGTAGAGCTTTTCAGGTTGGTGTCTTTTTCATTCTTGGAGGTGTGAAAATTAAGAAATTATGTGGATATTTTTAGTAGCTTATATATATTTATCTGCTAATGTGTAATAGAGATATGCAATTACTTAGGGGCATGCAAATTTTATTCTTTTGCTTATTCTCTATTTTGAACTTTTAGGAATAATAATAATAACTATCATTTATTGAGAATTTATTGTGTGCCATGAACTGGGAGTGATATTTAAAATATTTGCCAGCACCAGTATGCCTTGGGTACCTGCTGATCAAAATAGGAGTCCTGCCGAAACTGGTTTGGCTCAGTGGATAGAGCTTCTGCCTGCGGACTGAAAGGTCCCAAGTTTGATTCCAGTCAAGGGCATGTACCTTTGTTGTGGGCACATCCCCAGTGGGAGTGTGCAGGAGGCAGCTGATCGATGTTTCTAACTCTCTATCCCTCTCCCTTCCTCTCTGTAAAAACTCAATAAAATATATATTTTTTAAAAAAATGGGAGTCCAGCTGGGACCGGTTTGGCTCAATGGATAGAGTGTCGGTTTGGGGACTGAAAGGTCCCGGGTTCGATTCCGGTCAAGGGCATGTACCTTGGTTGCGGGCATATCCCCAGTAGGGGGTGTGCAAGAGGCAGCTGATCAATGACTCTCTCTCATCGATGTTTATAACTATCTCTCTCCCTTCCTCTCTGTATAAAAATCAATAAAATATATTTAAAAAAAAATAAAAATGGGAGTCCAGCCAGTCAGAAAAGGTGTATTGGCTGGATACAGCTCCTTTTGATAGGAGCCAAACCGACACTTTCAGAGTTTCCCTTACTCATACATAGAAAGTTTCTGAGTGGCAAAGTCAGGAATTGAACCCCGTCTGTGTGTCTATTCACCGCTTTCTGCTACTATCATGGTGCTTGCCTGCCTGTTGAGTGGTTTCTATTACAGTGTCTCATGACAAAGAGGTCCTGACAAACTGTAAACTGGACCTTGGTCTACAAGGCTGTTTTCCCATTGTATCTTTTGAGTGACTGTTCATTGAAAATGGGTATCTTGCTGCTGATGCTGCACTTGAATTATCAGATAATCTAATTCTAGAAGATGGAACTTTTTGAACCATCATCCTTATAGATAAGCTTTGCCATCAATGAATAATGCCCTTAATTTTAGTGTACTGACATAGCACTATAAGTTTAAGAGGCTTTCCGACAATGGCTTTTGTACATTTCGAGTTTTATATAAATGGAAGTTGAAATGTTAGCTGTTGGCAAGATTAACCAATTAAGAGACTTATTTGATACCTGTTATTTCTACCTTACATGAAAAGATGCATCAGGCACTGTTACTGTTAAGAATCTGTTTGCTATTGATCAGCATCCATATTTACCTTTGAGTAATTCAGTTTTTAAAAAGGTTATTCTTGCCCAGCCCACATGGCTCAGTGGATGAGAATTAATCTATGAACCAGGAGGTCATGGTTCAATTCCCTATCAGGGCACATGCCTGGGTTGTGGGCCTGATCCCCAGTGTGGGGCGTGCAGTAGGCAGCTGATCGATGATTTACTCTCATCATTGATGTTTCTATCTCCCTCTTCCCTCCTCCCTGAAATCAATAAAAAAAAATATACACTGAGTGGCCAGATTATTATGATCTCTGAACATATAATAATCTGGCCACTCAGTGTATTTGTATCTCAAATGGGTACCAACAGTATGCTAGACTTTTGCTGGTGATCAACCACCTATCTGCCCAGAGCTTTTTATCAGCCAATGCAAAGGGGAAAACTGGTCAGTGCATGATTTATAGTATCTTTGATATCAAATAAATGAGGTACTCAAGAGAAGTACACTGAGTGGCCAGACTATTATGCGTTCAGAGATCATAATAATCCAGCCACTCAGTGTATATTTTAACAAATTCCTCTTTAAGTCACCTGGAACTTATTTTAGGGTCTGATGTTTCAATTGCTGTCTAGGACGGGTACTTTAGTCCAGGTCATAACGCTTTGAGAGAACATTTCCAACTGCTATTCAATCATTCAGTACCATTTATTAAATAACTCTCTCCTCCCCCTTGTTTTGAAACCTTATGTTGTCGCATGTAACATTTTATGAAATATTGAGTCTGTTTCTGTATTCTCTGGGTTGTCCTGTCAATGATTTTTATGCTAGTTTCATATCAATTGAGTTAATAATAGTGCATTATATTGCTATAGACATTGATAGCCTTTTTGAGAGTAGAATTTTGGGAGGGGCTCAAAATCTAATCTCTGATTCATTGTACATTTAAAAAATATGTCTAACACTAGATAATACTATTAATCAGGATGATTTTTTTCTTTTCTCATATTTTTTTTTCTGTGTGTGTGTGTGTGTGTGTGTGTGTTTTATTTCTCTAAAGATAATCTTAATATCAAATATTCTCTGAAAAGCCATATATAAGCTGACACCTGGCTCTGTCTTTTTCATTCTGCCTAGATAGTAAAACACAAAACTTTAAGAGCATTCTTACACAATATGTAGTTATCAGATGTATGGAAAATTTGGTCTGTTAACAGAAAATACCGACTATCTCTTTTCCCTCCCCCTCAACTCAGCGTATCCTCATCGACATCCCAGAAGTGAGGTGGCCCAGTCTGGATACTGACGGTGGCATGATATGCATGCAGAGCGGCGCCGTGAAGATACCATCTGTAGACGGTCATGCATACCTCTGTCTGCCCAAATCTCAGCAGGAGTTTACAGTACATTTTTTGTGTAAAGTGAGCCAGAAGCCAGGCTCATCTGTACTATTGTCAGAAAAAAATAATCAAGCCCCAAAAGAACAAGTAGGGAAAGCGGACAGAATCCGTGCATATGGAAGTTTACCAGGACAGAGACGGAAGAATAAAGAAAACGAACTTCACTGCCAGATGGTGAAACCCAAAGAACCTTCAGAGGAGAAGCCGTGTGGAAACAGACCTGCAGGGAAGGAGGCGCCGCCTTCGCCTGGCCCCCAGCACAGCTGTGTCCACGCGTGGGTGGAACAGCGCTGCTCTGTGGCCTCCTGCCCAGAGGAATGGAAATACCCTCTGTCTTTAGCACTTCGCTTTGGTAATAGAGTCAGCAGTATGTCTGGAACTGATGGAAATGTCGCCCAGAGCACAGTGTTAACGTCTGCTGCTCCAGAGGAAGGAGGAAAAGAGGTTTCTGTTCTTCCCCAGGCCTTGCTGCTCAGCTGCCCTGTCCCACACCTGCACAGGTAATGGGAGAATGACTGACTGGTCAGAACCTGTCCTCCTATAGGTAATTTGTCTTTCTAAAGCATCTGATACCAGTCATAAGGAAAGCTCATTCAGTTAATCCAAACCTTGTTTAAAACTGATTGTAAAGAATTTGCCTAGCAAATGTTTATGGGAGGCTGACTGTACTAGATGCATTGTTAAGTACCGAGATGACTGAGACACAGTTCCTGCTTTCTAGAAGCTTAGAGTCCAGTGAGGGTCACTGTCACTGAAAAGATTATTGCTCAAGTGTGGTAAGGGATGGCCCGGGACCTACATGGACCCCTGTGGGAGCATCTGCTGCCACTCAGTGGAGCCTGTTACCATGGTTGCTGGAGTATAGATCTGACAAGTTTATGATCATGGGTTCTTTCTTTCTCACTTGGCTACTGAGACCATCTCTGTCTTTGATTAACGCAAATATTGTCCATTATCAAAGGGATAGACATGGATGGCTAGGTAAAAACTTTTGGCCTCCACTAACAGATGAATAACCTAATGGTGATAGATTTGTAACAGGAACTTTGCATAAGTAGTGCAAATCTACACTAATAAAAGAGAAAGATGCAAATTGACCATACCATATGCAACACCCACCAGCCAATCAGGAGTGAGTATGCAGATTATCCCAACAAAGATTGTGGGTTTGTTTGCACATGAAGGTAGCATGCATATATATATATATATATATATATATATATATATATATATATATATATTTTTTTTTTTAAAGACTTTATAAAGATTACTAAAATAGTTAATTTAGGTAATTCTGTTGAGATTCAATAGTGAGATTATTGCCGAAACCGGTTTGGCTCAGTGGATAGAGCGTCGGCCTGTGGACTGAAAGGTCCCAGGTTCGATTCCGGTCAAGGGCATGTACCTCGGTTGTGAGCACATTCCCCAATAGGGGTGTGCAAGAGGCAGCTGATAGATGATTCTCTCTCATCGATGTTTCTAACTCTCTATCTCTCTCTCTTCCTCTCTAAAAAATCAATAAAATATATATTTAAAAAAAAATAGTGAGATTATTGAAAATGCATGGAAAATAAGACTCGTTTTAAAATGTAATGTACTTTCATATTTTTACTTCTTTGATCTAATTAAGCAAGGAATAAATCTTATTACAGTCACTATTTTGTTGACTTCTCAAGGTAATTTTGTTGAGCAGCCAGAATCCATAACTTGTATTTTGTCCTTCACAGGTGGACTTTCTGTGATTCCCTTTCACAGGGGCAGGCTGATGAAGAGGAATATTCCTACTCTGAACTAGTGAAAGTGGTTTGGTACAAGGGCGTTACGTACAGGTAAGGCACCTGAGTTGGAGTTGGTTGTAGTGATGGCACAGGGGAGGGCTAGCCTTGCAGATAAACTATGAGAGAATGCAGTTTGCAGGGCCACCATGCTCCTGTGCTCAAGTCTCAACACCCTAATTATATTCGGACACACAGGGGTCTTGTTCCTAATTCACATTAATCATATTCGCAAGATTTTTGTGACAGCTCGAAAGCCAGTGAGGGATTATTCTGCAAGTGAATGAGATACGCATGGCAGCTATTTAAGCCACGCCTTCCAAGCATGGGGGATCTAGTTGTCTGAAATAGTCACATCAGAAGGTGCCTGGTGAGCATAGAATAGAGATGTTAGATTCCTAAAGGAGATTTCAGCTACATTCACTCAGCAGATATTCACTGAGCGGCTGCTCTGTGCTGCACAATCCCATTGAATAACCCTACCTCTCCAGGGCCTGGAACACTAGTGCTGGCCAGAGGAGCGGTTCCCTCTGTACACAGTGCTGACCAGCTCTGCCAGCTGTTTGTTCTCGGGCTCTCCTTTTCCTGCACGAGGACCCGCTCGTTACTGACAACATACTAGTATTTTCCATCGTGTTTCAATAAAATTGACCTGGCGCATATCTTTATTCCTTATATACCCAATACCTTGATTGTCCAGTGAGTCACCTTCTCTTTGGGATAGCTCCTTCTACACATGGCTAATCTCATCATCAGGTATTGATTCTGCTAGTTTTATTATTAAAGAGTAATCTCATTTTCAGGTTCTAGAGTTGTTATATTTAACTCCTATACAATGAGCACTGCTTTTGTGACCATTATAGACTAGCCACGTGATCGGCTGGCGGGGATACTAGGGTAATAAGGCAAGATGCCTCACTTCTAGAAGCTGAGCTTAGTTACTGAAGTAGATAGTCCCACCAATTCTTTTTTTTTTTTTGCCAACAAGAAAATAATTTAGTTGGCTGGAGAAACAGTGTGAAATTATCAATTTGCTAGATAGGTTAAAAAATTATACTATTTTGCCTTTCTTTTTTTCTTTTTTTTTCTTTGATAACTGACCATGTATGTGGTTTTTTTTTTTTTTAATATATTTTATTGATTTTTTACAGAGAAGAAGAGAGAGGGATAGAGAGTTAGAAACATCAATCAGCTGCCTCTTGCACACCCCCCACTGGGGATGTGCCCGCAACCAAGGCACATGCCCTTGACCGGAATTGAACCCGGGACTCTTCAGTCCACAGGCCGACGCTCTATCCACTGAGCCAAACCGGTTTTGGCTGACCATGTATGTTTTAATCTCAATTAGAAAAAATACTTTTTTAATGATTATTTATTTTCCATAGACTTACTCATAAAAATGTGAACTCAATAGAGATTTATCCTGGAGATGGATCTGTTTTCAAATCAGAAGGAGCTTACTTTGGGAACTATTTTACATACTATTCCATTCCAGAAGAGGTAGGTGGACAATGATATTTCCACTCAAAATTTTTGGTCTATAGCCGTTTCTAAATAATTGTGAATATATTTGGGAAATTTGATCTCTATATAACATTGCTTGCTACTACTTAGTCAGAACAATCAGTGTAACCTTACTGCCAGAATATGGCACAATAACTATTAACCACCTTGTCCTTACTGTACTATCATCCTGTATTCTGTCTTCCATTTACCTAAGCAATAATGTTTAAATCAAAAGTTACATTTCTTCTGTCATAGAATATATCAATAGAAAATACTAAAACTAGCAGTATTATTTTGAATCAATATACTTCTTTGAATTAATATTTGCCAATTAAAAAGCACACTCTTTTTTCCCTAGCGTGTATTATTTGCATATTTTAAATACTCCTTAACTCCTAAATCTTTATATTCAACTAAAAAGTTGAACAAGATTGTTTCCTGGTGTTGAAAATAGTGAAACATAACATATTTAACAGATCAGATCAAAATGTAATAATGTGGATATTTTGTTAATAACTCTTAATTTACTCAGTCTGACATTTGATACGTTTAAAGATCTCACCACAATATCATGTGGCTTTGGTTTGCAGGATGAAATACAATAAAAGTGTTGTCTTTATTACAGAGTAGAGCATGTAAGTGATAAAATTATCAGAGATGCTAGACCCTGGCGAGTGTGGAATATTGAAAGAAATTAAAGTGCTGTTGTTCAGTAGTTGGAACAGAAATAGAAATTGGGGGTGGGTTTTTTTGGTCTAAAAGGAAAAGCTTAAGTGATATTTTCTGCTAATATGTAGGAAAATTTGTTTGTAACCATGTTCATTTTTTTAAATATATTTTTATTGATTTCAGAGAGGAAGGAGGAAGGAAAGATAGAAACATCAATGATGAGAGAGAATCATTGCTCACAGACCCCCTACTGGGGATCAAGCCTGCAACCCAGGCATGTGCCCGACTGGGAATGGAACCATGATCTCCTGGTTCATATGTTGACACTCAAGCACTGAGCCACACCAGCTGAGCTTGTAATCATGTTAGTTCAAGTGTGCCAAGATTTGGACAGCAAGTTATAGGCTATTGAGAATATAACTTTTGAATAGAGAAGGAAAATGGGAAAATGGAAAACATCATGAAATACCTTTAGATTATACCTTTTATGACCTTTAAGTTAAAATAACTGCTTCCTACCGAAACCAGTATGGCTCAGTGGATAGAGCGTTGGGCTGCGGACTGAAAGGTCCAAGGTTCAGTTCCGGTCAAGGACATGTACCTTGGTTGCGGGCACATCCCCAGTAGGGGTTGTGCAAGAGGCAGCTGATCAATGATTCTCTCTCATCGATGTTTCTAACTCTCTATCCCTCTCTCTTCCTCTCTGTAAAAAATCAATAAAATAAAATTAAAGAAAATAAAATAACTGCTTTCTTTGTCATTATGTAAATATGTAAATACAAAATAGCTAAGTAATAATGGCCAATGTTTATTATTAAAGAAATTTTTCCTTTTAAACTGGTTTTCAGAGGAAAGAGAAAATGTATTCAGTAAATAATCTTCCACCAGAGAGACCAGGAAGTCTGTTTTCTGTGTGCTCTCTAATTAAACAGGCCACCAGGTAAGTCCTTCACATTCAACTGAATCAAGGGTTATGTTTGAGCCCTAGCTGGTTTGGCTCAGTGGATAGAATCTCGGTCTGCGAACTAAAGGTCCCGGGTTCGATTCTGGTCAAGGGAACATGCCTGGGTTGTGGGCTTGATCCCCAGTGGGGGGCTTGCAGAAGGCAGCTGGTCAATGATTCTCTCTCATCATTGATGTTTCTATCTTCCTCTTCCTTCCTCTCTGAAATAAATTTAAAAAAAAATTTTTTTTAAGAGTTATGTCTGAGAACCTTGATACCTTTTATCATGGTTAAGATAAGATTAAGAATTTGTAATTAGCTCTAGCCAGTTTGGCTCAGTGGATAGAGCGTCAACCTGCAAACTCAAGGGTCCCAGGTTCAATTCCGATCAAGGGCATGTACCTTGGTTGTGGGCACATACCCGTAGGGAGTGTGTAGGAGGCAGCTGATTGATGTTTCTAACTCTCTATCCTCTCTTCCTCTCTGTAAAAAATCAATAAAATAGATTTTTTTTAAAAAAGGATTTGTAATTAAAAGAGTACTTCCATCTTTGAAACGTAAAATGAAATATGGAGAAACATTTATATGTGGCAAGCAAGTGCTGGAAGTACTTCCTGGGTAAATTTTGCATCATTATTGCTCCCTGGAATCAAGTTGAGGAGTTGATGATACATTTAAAAATTTTATACTTCTTTATTATCTTGAATAATAAAGATTTCTGAATGTGTACAGAAGAGAAGTATTGTTTGGTTCTTTGGTTCATATGCTCTTTAATTCTCCTAGTTAATTAATGTGTAGCACTCAGAAGAATGAAAGTGAATTGTTGGATTAAATGATTTATTTGTATAAACTATGTCTAAGCCAGTTCCAACGTAGATTTGAAGGAGCAGATCGGTTTGATTTCCTAGGGCAGTTTATTTACAACCCACCACTCTCAGACTATGCTAACCCTTTTAGGCACTGTCAACCTATCACCTCATAAAAAAGAGCAACTGAAAATTCTATTTGGAGTCATTTCATTGCTACAAATTCGAGAAATAACTTTAAGTATTAGCCAAAGGTCCCTAACCAGTTTAGCTCAGTGGATAGTGTCCGCCTGTGGACTAAAGGGTCCCAGGTTTGATTCCAGGCTAGGGCATGTACAGGAGTGGATGTGCAGGAGGCAGCTGATCGATGTCTCTCTCTCTCTCATATGACGTTTCTAACTTTCTATCCTTCCCCCTTCTTCTCTGTAAAAAATCAAACATACATATATATATATATATATAAAGAGCTTAACATTTATTTTTTTTAAAATTAGCCAAAGGGAAACAGTAATAGTTCCTTCTAAAGGCTTATTATTTTCTGGAAGGAAATGGGTCTGGACATATATCAATGGAAATGAACTTCTTGACTGAGATGTCACACAGCAGTTAGAATGGTTGCTAGAATTGGAAAATGCCATAATCTGCAATTTGCAAATGTTTACGTTGTGTATTTCATGTTCACAGGATTCTTCACCACTGCGCCAAGATGAGGCTCTCTTTAAGCCATAACTATCGTATATGCTGCTGGAAAATGGTATCTTAAAATTCTTTTCAAAGCAAGATAATTTTGTTTTTATTGTCTATATTTCTAAATTCAAATTACTTTAAGTCATGTAAGAAATTCTTTGTAACATTAATATTGATTTATTCAGAACAATATCCACTTAATCGCTGCAAAATGAGGCTTTTACTTATATTTTATTGTATATATTTTGGTTTTGCTTCTTCTTTTAAATGGAATGGGAAGGCCATAGGAATTAGTTGGATTTGTATGTAAAAACATAGTTATTGTAAACACTGCAGTCTTCTACTCTCTTTCCATGCTGTAAGTACATTCTTTAATGCTGACTTGGAGAAGTTATTCTCAGACTTTGATTTCTGCATCTATACTAATTTGGTTTTAAGTTTATACTGTATGTCACTATAGTTTCTAAGTCTTGTCTGTGTTCTGTGTAAAGTTCAGAGCAAATGGTGGTTTAATCTGCTTGTAGTAGACTGTTGTGGGCATCCACTTGTGGAAAGGTTAAACATACATAAGGATTCTGCAATATTCAGCTTCTGTATAGAATCTGAAAGTTGCCTGAGAGTTCATTAATCACTTAAATCTTATAAATGGATAACTCTACTTCCTGCTATTTTTACTTACTTGGTTTTAGGCACCTGGGATAAATGAGAATATGCTGCCTTTGCTTTTGAAAGAATCATTCATACCCAATGTGGGAAGATTTCTTGCTTATTCTGATGACAAAGTACATACCATCTTTATAGATGGCATTACTCTAACCCTAAATTGGAAATTTGGCTCTTTTAATGGAAAAAGACAGGTGAGTATACTTCAGACTAAAATCTATTTTGTATTGTTTTTTGTTTTATCTGTGGAAATACTGTGGCACTTTTTTTTGTTGTCCTTATGTCTCAATTTCTTTTTTTAATCCTCATCCAAGGACATGGAGAGAGAGAGAGAGAGACAGAGGGGGGGGGGGAGATCAAATCTATGTGAGAGAGAGAGAGAGAGAGATATCAAATATGTATCTATACTATATTAGTTATAAATTTACATGTTGCCTTTAACATGTGCCCTGACCGGGAATCAAATCAACAACCCTTTGGTGTATGGATGACGCTTAACCAACTGAGCCACCCAGCCAAGTCAATTTGTTTTTTGAAGTATGATATCTTCAAAAGGCTTTATTGATCTCATTAGATTTCCTAAAAAAATCAAATAGGTGTGGCAAATATTTATTTTTATAAAGTAACTCTACAGAGAGAGGGACTAGTATTTCTTAAATTGCTAAGTTAGAAGAGGGTTTTGGGGTGATTTTGTAGTTTTTTTAGTTTTAGAATGATAAAACTTAACTTTCCTCCATGTTTCTTAAGATAAATCAAGGTCTCAACTTAGGTTGGTGTAAGTTAACTTTTCCTGATGGACACGATCAGTTAATTCAGATTGAACACCCCGGACCATATGAAAGGTACTGAAAAGCAATGTAAAAATTATTTTCTTTTTAGTAAAAATCTTTTAATTGATAAAGTGGAAATATAAACAATATCTACATATTTTGTTCTAGGTTTTACATGTAGATGTGAATAAAGTCATTTCAACAGGTTTCAGAGTTTGATGTTATATTGGCATCTATAATAACAAAAAAGATGAAGTCAGCTTTATTCATTTCCATTTGTATTTGAAGTGATTTTTCACCATAATGAATATGTTAGATCTAATTGGCTTGCTGGAGAAGTTATTGTCAGATGTGTTAACCTATTAATCCCCTAACCAATTTGAAATAAGGTTTGCAACCACAAATAACTAAATTTCTGTATATTATTATAAAGTAGGAAAAATTAATGATTATTTTTAAAATGGAGATTCTTGAAATCAGCTTTTCATGACTGCTTTCTTTTAGTTTAGTAATATATTTTGTAATAATTGTTGTACTTGTGATGTTCTTAACATTTTAGGATTTTACTTGAAAATTATAATGTTCATAAAAGAATTGATTTGTTTTATCTCAAATTTATTTTTCTGTGAGCTTTATTGCATTTTGGTCTAAATGCTCCAATACTCATTGCTATAATAGTTTGAATAATTTGCCTCAAATAAAACAGTGTGCATTTAGCAAACGTTGTTTGTTTTATCCAGTCACTTCAGAATAATCATTTTATTAAACTTGATACTTGTTTTGCATATTCGGTGAGTTAATATGTAATTAATGGGTGTTTTCTAGTTTAAATTTTAAAAAGCAGATGTTCACTTAGTCTTATATGTAAACACATGTACATGATAAATTTAATGAAATTCGTTTATTTTGAAAAACTAAAAGGAGAATTTAGACATTTGAATTTGAACTTTGTTCTGACTCTTAAATCTCATCATTATTAATCATGAATGTGAGTGAAGAATTTTCTCCTTGATGAATAATGAAAAAAACTGCCTTATTTTCAATGGAGCCCTAGCTTGTTTGGCCCAATGGATAGAGCATTGGCCTGTGGACTGATGGCTTCTGGGTTCGATTCCAGTCAAAGATACATGCTCAGGTTGCGGGCTTGATCCACAGGGGCCTGCAGAAGGTTTTCTCTCATTATTGATGTTTTCCTCTCTCTCTCCCTCTCCCTTCCTCTCTGAAATCAATAAAAAAAGATTTTTTAAAAAGAAGATTCATAGAATTTTTCAGTAAATGCCTTATTTTAAAATATTCTCTTTACCCTTTTTCCCAAATTGTTTTGATTTTTCAATCATTTTTCAAATTTTTATAAATAGAATGCAAGTTCATTTTTCAAATATTTCTTTTAATGTATTTAATCTAGATATGTGTCAACAGTAATATCATGGTGCAGAAGACTGACCCAGACCAGTCAGAGAGAGACGCCCATACATCCTTCATCTTCTGTTCTTGAAGAAAATTGGTATTTATATTTCTTTTAAATTTAATCTGTGTAGAAGAGCCCACTAATACTCAAAATTAAAATGTCAAATGGAAGGGGAGGAAAGGAAGGGAAATAAAACTTATGTCTCTGTTTGATTAAAAAATAAATGTGGGGAGAAAGAAGTCAAATGGTAAACTCTAAGACTTTTTTCCCCCAAGAAGATCTTGTCTTAATTAAATATATTTAACTCTGTTTTTGATAGCTTAAGATTAAAATAATTTTTCTTTAATCAGGTATCTAATTTATTAGGTTTTTCTTTTTAAAATTTTAACTTTTATAAAAACAATCAAGTATGCTTATTTGAAGGCCCAGTGTTGGATTGGTGGGGGGAATCCCTTCAGCCCGGCCTGCACCATCTTACCGTCCAGGACCCCTCAGGGGATGTCCGCCTGGGGAATCGGGCCTCCGCTGGCAGTCAGACATACCTCTCACTCCTTACCACCTGCCTGCTCACTGCTCCTCGGTGCTGCCACAGAGTTGGGAGAGGCTCCTGCCATCACTTTTGCACTTGCCAGCTGTGAGCCTGACTTCTGGCCAAGCAGTGCTCCCCCTGTGGGAGCGCACTGACCACCAAGGGGCAGCCCCTGCATTGAGCGCCTGCCCCCTGGTGGTCAGTGCGCATCATAGTGACAGGTTGTTCCACTGGTTGTTCTGCAGTTCAGTTGATTTGCATATTAGGGTTTTATTATATAGGATTATGTGTAAAAAAGAATCAGATAACTAGTATGAACTTACTTTTCTCCACAGGTGTGTAGCTTCTGAACTTGAAAAAATACAGAAGTTTAACTGTATCCTTTAAACATAATGTATTGTCCTGCACAATTACTCCCTTTCCATTTTAGGTTTAATTCATAACCCTATAGTTTATATTAATCCACACCTATATTGTGGAGCTTCAGTGAATACTAAAGATATTTGAGAAGTAGCTTGTCTGTGGAAGGTACATGGTATTGAAGACTTTTGCATGTTCATCGGTGATATTGACAAGTATTTTTGTTTTCTTGTAGTGTGGTTGTTAGCGTAATGCTAGCTTTATACTTTGAAAGTATTCCCTCCTCTTGTATTTTTTTGAAATAGTTTGAGAAGGATTGGTATTAATTCTTCCTTAAATATTTGGTATAATTCACCATTATTTGATCTGGGGCTCTTGTTTGTTGGGAGGTTTTGATTCCTGGTTCTTACTAATATTCCATCTATTCAGGCTTCGTTTGATTCAGTCTTGGTAGAGTGTGTTTTTGGAAATTATCCATTTCTTCTAGATTGTCCAATCTATTGGTATGTACTTATAGTAGTCTCTTATGATCCTTTGTATTGTGTTGTACCCGTGGTCATTTCCTCTTTCATTTCTAATTTTATCTGACTTCTCTTTTTTTTTTTTTTTTTTAAATATATTTTATTGATTTTACACAGAGAGGAATTGAGAGGGACAGAGAGTTAGAAATGTCGATGAGAGAGAAACATCGACCAGCTGCCTCTTGCACACCCGCCACTGGGGATGCGCCCGTAACCAAGGTACATGCCCCTGACCAGAATCGAACCCGGGATCCTTCAGTCCGCAGGCCGACACTCTATCCACTGAGCCAAACCGGTCCCAGCTGACTTCTCTTTTTTCTTGGGTAAATTTAGCTTCAAGTTTTACTGCGATTTTTATTTCCTCACTTTCACCAAACCTCCATCCAAACACACCTACATACTCTTTCCTTTTCCCTTTACTCTGCTTTCTTCACCTATGGGGAATAGACTTGATAATTTCTGAAGTACCAACTCTATTATGTATCCAAAAGATCTTCCCCTCAATGGAGAAATCCTATTTTAATATGAAGTCAGGCTTTCTGCCATTAAAAACACTTGTATAATGAAAAATGTGGGCAAAAACTCCTTGACTAAGCAACTTAGTGTTACTGGAAAACAGTGGTGTCCTAAACCAGATTTCTAACAAGAAAAATGAACAGTCTTTTGATTGTAAACCAAACTACTCAGAAACCTTGCTAGAAGAAGTTAATGAAAAGAGAGTATCAGTGGCATTAAAAAGAACCTCTGAAATTATTCAGGATATTGATTGTCTTCTATCAAGCTCTAAAACGTGAAAAATGAAATTATTACAATATATTATTAAATTGTAAGGGTGTTTCAAATCAATGGTATAAAATTACTAGAAAACAAAAGAATTGTATATATGACTTCTGTATAATAATCTGAGAAGTGATATTTAACTTTGGATGTATTTTACCTAACATGTAAATTTAAAATGTGCATTTATAAAATGCTTTATTAATAAAGAATTATTTTGAAATTTTGAACTGTTATTTCATGTTTATGAGAAAAAATTTATAAACATACAGCTTTATCTTGTGAAGCATTGACTGTTAATCAAGGATTTTTTTTAAAAAATGCAGTATTGTGTGTGTGCATTTGTCATTTGCTATTTAGTTTCTTTATTCCAAACATTTTTTCAGTTGAACTATGAGAAGGGAATTAGATCTTAAAAAAGAAAAGTAGGTGATATTGCTCCAGGCCACTGGCCTAGACAACAGTAAGAAATGCATCATGCTAAATTGGTACTGTATTCAGAAAGAAAAAACTTAGCACCGTGACTCAAAGCACTCATTATTGTGTTAATGTGTTTGATATTTTCAATTAGCTTTTATGCTGTGTGGATAAAATGTGTAATTTTTCTTCTAAGTTGACTCTTAAACCTTTAGCTAGAATCAACAATATGATAAGCAAAGGACAGTTCTATATCTGAGATACTGAGCCACACTTTAAGATTCTGTGGGAGGCCTATGAAATAAGATTGAAGATTCTATGGTCCCTTTCAACGATCCTGTATAATGAGGTAATATAAAATTGACTGTCACAGCCTTGCACAAGATGGCCAGCAGGGGAGGGCAGTTAGGGGTGACTGGGCCGGCAAGGGAGGGCAGTAGGGGAGGACCAGGCCAGCAGGGGAGGGCAGTTGAGGGTGATCAGGCTGGCAGGGGAAGGCAGTTGGGAGCCAGCAGTCCTGGATTGTGAAAGGGATATCTGACTGCTGGTTTAGGAATCAGGCCTAAACTAAGATGACTAGATGTCCCAATTTTTAACGATTTGTCCCATGTCCTGCGGCGTTTTAAAAAAGTCCAAAAGATTTAAAAGAATCTTTCCAAAAATCTGGACTTTTTTAAAACGCCGCGGGACAAATTGTTAAAAGTCGGGACTGTCCCGCCAAAAGCAGGACTTCTGGTCATCGTAACCTAAACTGGCAGTCGGACATCCCCAGAAGGGTCCCGGATTGGAGAGAGTGCAGGCCGGGCTGCACAAATTCCCCCAGTGCACAAATTTCATGCATCTGGCCTCTAGCATGAGTATAATCCCCCTGCTGCCCTTTCTTTCCATCTGACAGCTGTTTTTGAGCAATGAAGTAAGAAGGAAACGGAACTGTTCCTATTTGAACCTCTTTGTTCGGGCCAGTACGTCCCAGAGCCAAATGTCTCGCTATGCGTTCTTGGTGCTAAGAGAGAGCCCTCGGAGGCAAGGAGACGGGCGTGTCCCAGTCCACAAGCTGCATCTTGACCGCCTCGTTAACTGGGGTCCAGCTAACCCAGTGGCGGTCACTTTCCCAAAGGAGCGTCCGGCCGCGCTGTCCACAGGAAAGAGCGGCGGCGAAGAGTCGTCCTCCAGACGTCCCCCAGGGGGCGCTGCAGCGCCGCGGGGAGCGGGGGCGCCGGTCCCTCCAGGGCCATCGCAGGGAGAGAGGAACTCCGCCTTCGGTCCGGGCACCGGGCTCGCGCCCTCCACGTTGATGGCTAAGCCGAAAACGAACCCAGGTCACTGGTCACTCTCACCCCGCCGTCCTGCAGGTCTCCTTCTAGGGTCAGGTGACCAGGCGTCCCGCTCTTTAATAATGTGTCCCGCGGCGTCCTAAAAAAGTCCCGATTTCCACCCCCCCCAAAAAAAATCGGGACATTTTTAAGACGCGGTGGGATGCGGGACAAATTAAGAATCGGAACGTTTGCTGAAAAACGGTTTGGCTCAGTGGATAGAGCGCCGGCCTGCGGACTGAAGGGTCCCAGGTTCGATTCCGGTCAGGGGCATGTACCTTGGTTGCGGGCACATCCCCAAGAGGAGGTGTGCAAGAGGCAGCTGATCGATGACTCTCTCTCTCATCGATGTTTCTCTCTCTCTTTCTCCCTTCCTCTCTGTACAAAATCAATAAAATATATTTAAAATAATAATAAATAAAAAATAAAAAATCGGGACGTCTGGTCACCTCATTCTAGGGGGGGACAGGACGGGCCAGAACTCGAGGTGCCCAGTCCTCCACCGGAGAGCATCCGGACCGCGGCTCCCGCCGGCTCAGATTGGCGCCCTATCCCGGCGTGCATCTCGGCGGCGCGCGGGCCGGAGCCGCTCTGGCCGCACCGGCGTCTCTATGGTCCCTGCGGGGGCGGGGCTTCCATCGATGGGGCGGGGCTTCCATCGATGCGGCGGCGGCGGCGGCGGCGGCTTCCGCCGTGAGAGCCGGGTGGGTGCGGCGCGGGGCCGGTTGGGAGGGGGTGCGGGGGATGCTGCGAAAGAAGCTCCGTCCTCCGGTGAGGCCCGAGGCGGGACCGCCTGAGCCCGGAGTGGGGCCTGTCCAGGTCGCAGATGGGGAGGGCGTGCGGGCGGCCGGGCCGGGACCTGCGCGAGGCGCCCTCCGGCTTCGTGGCCCCGTCCCGGTCCCCCCGGGGCCCCGCCGCTCCCGGCGTTTCCCTGGCCCGGGGCGGGGGGCCGGTCCCGGTCTGAGGGCGCTGCCCGTCGCCATCGGTACCGGCGGCAGAGCCCCCCTGGAGGCGGGAAGGCGACCAGTGTGACCCGGCGCCTTCCCTGCGGACGCCGGGCTCCCCGGTTCCTGCCCTGTGTCTTAGTGCACACGTGAGCCATGCCTGCATCGCACCCACCTGATGGAAGCGTGACTTTGGGGATGGATTTGCAAGTTGAAACGTGGAATTGGGTGTTTTATTCGTAATGGTCATAGGCTCCAAACATGGTACGTGCAGGCTGTGAGAGTTTCCGTGCGAGGGAGCGCCGTTTGTGTCTCCTTTGCTCTGCCAATGAGCTGCGTTAGGTTTGGCTTCTCTTCTGGGTGTTGTCGCATTAAAGGAATAGAAGCATAATAAAGACAGTTTTCCCATGTCAGACTGTGCTTTTACTGGGGGCTTTTGGAAACGTGATTGGGGAGAAGAAGAGGGTGAAGTGGAAGATGATGTTTACATTGGGAATGTGTTAGCTCTGATTTGTTGTTGTTTTGTTGTTTTTTTGTTTTGTTTTATTAGCTCTGGTTTGTTTTGGCAGACAGATGTCTTAAGAAGTTATTGACAATACATAGCAGTGTATAATTAAAGTAACTGCTAATTGTGTGTTTGTGGAGTTCAGGGAAGGGAAGAATACTGCTATATATATATATTATACTTTGAAGGCCCCATAATTGATGGCATTTTACCAGAATGGGCAGTTTGGCCATTGCAGAATGTGGCTCCTGCAGGTCAGAGGAGAGAAATGTGTGATGTGGAAACTGGCTATTATGGCAGAGAAGTCCTATCCAATTAACACCTTTAGTTATAGGCTGAGGATTGCTGACCTGCTTATCCCTTTTATTAATATACTAATGAGATATTTATTAAGCACCACAGCACATTAGATTTTATGCATGACAGGTTTAAAAGAAAATTGTAATTACTACTCTTAAGGAACCTGTTCTTTCCTCCCCTCCCCCCAAAGTGAGTATGTAAAATAAACAGAAGGCTCTTTTGCAGTTCAGGAGGCTCCTGGAATCCATTTTATTTGTAGAGGGAGGAGAATCTAAATATCTGCACCAATAGTTGGAGAGGAATGGATGTCAGAATTATGTGTTTCTGGGACCATACCTTCTTTAAAACAGCAACTTTTATCTACTGCTGCATAATGAATTACTCCAAAACTTAGAGGCTTAAAACAGAAGATATTTCCTTTTGTCTCCATCTATCCCTCCCCCTTTTTAATCGATTTCAGAGAGAGGAAATAAGAAAGAAAGAAAAAATATATACATATCTATTTGTTGTTCCATTGACTGTACATTCATTGGTTGCTTCTTGTATGTGCCCTGACCCGGGATCCAACCAACAACCTTGGCATATTGGGACAAGACTCTAACCCAGTGGTCGACAAACTCAGTCAACAAACCTCGGCTCAGGAGCCATATGTGGCTCGCTGACCACTGCTCAAACCAACTGAGCCACCTTGGCCAGGGCTCCGTCTGTCTCTTACTAGAGAAATTTAGGACATTCACATTTATTGTGGTATTTGTGTTTGATGTGTTTGGTTCCAATTGCTTTTCTTTGATGGGGGTGGTAAAATTTTCTTGTTTGCTTTTTTTCCCTTTTCTGTTTTGTTGTATTAATCAAGTTTTCTTTCTCCTCTCTCCCTTTCCCCTAGAGATTTAGAAGTCCTGTTCCTCAATTCTTTTTCCCCCAAGAAATTGTACCTAGGTGTTATAATTTCTAAGGAAAACTCTTAAAATTCATGATTGTGACATAATTCCCATAATTTAGTTGTGTTGAGAATCCTACAGTAATGATCCTTTTTCTCTCAGAACTCTGTACCTCACAATATTTTGGTATTGTTGGTGTTAATCACTCTTTTGCAGATAACCTTGGGGGGTGGGAGAGGCTTAAGTACTCTTAAAGGGTTTTCTCTTTATTTTTTAAATTTATTTTTTTTCAATATCCAACTCAAGCTTTGGGAAAATCCTTTGAAAATGTTCATGCTCACTTGTGGTTTTGAAGCATTCATTTAATATGCATTGCTTCCATTAACCTTTTAGTTGGGCAATCAGGCTTTTCATCTTCATTATCTCTTTCTTGTTTTTGTTTTGTTCCTTTTACATGAAGTCTGCTGTTATTTTTGGCAGTAAAATGTCATGATGAGCAGTTTTGCCCAAAGGAAGGGGCTGATATCAGAAAAAGTGTGGAAGGTAGTTGCTGGGTACATAGACAGTGGATGCCAACTACCGGGCAGTAAATATTTCTGAGATGGATGACCTCAAAGTAATACATTACAGTCAGTGGGCTTCCTTAAGTTTCCCATGCTACACATTACCATCTAACCTGCTTTTCCTACAAAACTCATCTTTGGGCCATATAGCTTATTATATATAATGTAACCTTTACCGTTCTCACCACACATAAGAAAAGTTGACTATATGAGCTGATGGATGTGTTAACTAACCTTATTGTGGTAGTCATCTCACATTATGTATATTAAATCATTACATCATATGCCTTAAACTTACACCATGTACTAGATTGGTTATATCTCAATAAAGTTAGAAAAATTTCTTTAAAAAATTAAATATTTTTAAAAAAATATGTTTTATTGACTTTGTACAGAGAGGAAAGGAGAGAGAGAGTTAGAAACCTCGGTGAGAGTTATCGATCAGCTGCCTCTTGCACACCCCCTCCTGGGATGTGCCCGCAACCAAGGTATGTACATGCCTTTGACCGGAATCGAACCCGGGACCCTCCAGTCCCCAAGCCGATGCATTGAGCCACACCGGTCCCGGCAAAATTAAATATTTTTTATTGTTTTTTTACAGAGAGGAAGGGAGAGGAGAGAGAATTAGAAACATCGATGAGAGAGAAACATCAATCAGCTGCCTCCTGCACACCCCCTACTGGGGATGTGCCTGCAATCCAGGTATATGCCCTTGACCAGAATCGAACCTGGGACCTTTGAGTCCACAGGCTGACGCTCTTATACACTGAGCCAAGCCAGATAGGGCATAAAATCACAGTAATTTAAAAAGAAATACCAGTTTTTTTTACAACTTTATATTTATTTGTAAAATTATTGCTGATGATGTTTTGTTTAGATATTGTATGGCAACCCATAATATGCATTTGTGTGCCTGTCTCCTTTCTCTTTTAGGGTGACTGGGAATGTCAGCAAGATTAAGTGGCTCGTTTCCTGATGGCTCTTCATGTACAATGACACACTGTTTGTGATGGCATCCGAGACGGAGAAGACCCAGGCCTTACTCCAGTCTTGCAGCACTCAGGCTCTTCTCTCCAGCCTCGGCCTGGGGACATTCTGCCTTGTGGCTGACAGGCTTCTGCAGTTTCCCATAATTCAGCACAATACCTGGCTCCGCGCCCTCTCCGACAATGCAGTGCACGGTGTGATCGGCATGTGGTCCTGGGCGATCGTCATTGGCATCAAGAAGAAGACTGACCTCAGAGAGATCTTCCTAGCTGGATTTTTAGCCTCTGTTATTGACGTGGACCACTTTTTACTAGCTAGATCCCTATCTTTACAGGTAAGAAGCATATCTGTTTAATTTTCCTTTGATTTTGTTAGCACCATTATACCCAACTTTGCGGCATCATTTCAGTTACAACCAGAGAAGACTGACCTTGTTTTAAGATAAGAAAGCCCAGCCCTGGCTGAGTGGTTCAGTTCGTTGGAGTGTCATCCTGTACACCAAAATTACACGAACCTTATACATTTAGGATTTAATATGGGTTTTATTGACTTTTAGAGAGAGAGGAAGGGAGAGGGGTAGAGAGAAATGTCTGAGAGAGAAGCATCATTGATCAGCTGCCTCCTGCACACCCCCTACTGGGAGTTGAGCCCACAACCTGGGCATGTACCCTGACCGGGAATCAAATGATGACATCTTGATTCACAAGGTTGACACTCAACTACTGTGCTACCCTGACCAGGCAGGACAATATTTTAGAGTATTAGGAAGTATGTATAAAATGTTGTTTGCCAAGAAGGAAATGATAGAAGTATTGCTTCCCGCCCTCCCCACAGGCTGCTCTGACTCTCCCACGAAGACCCTTCCTTCACTGCTCTACGCTGATACCCATCGTGGTTCTGACCCTCAAGGCTACCATGCACCTCTTCAAGCTCAAAGACTCGTGGTGCTTCCTCCCCTGGATGGTCTTCATATCCTGGACCTCACACCACATCCGGGACGGCCTCCGTCGCGGCCTGTGGCTGTGCCCGTTTGGAAAGACCCCTCCCCTGCCAGTCTGGCTTTATGTCGTAAGCACGGCATCTTTGCCTCACTTCTGTTCCATGGTCATGTATTTAACAGGGACAAGACAGGTGATGTCTTCAAAACACGGAATCCGTATTGATGTCTGAGGTCACCGTGCAGCAGCCTCAGAGAAACGAATGGTTCGGACAGTGATAATTAAGGATATCCAACATTAAAGGGACTTTTAGAAAACATATTAGGTACTTACATGAATTATTATAATTCCTGAATCCTCTTGCTCAGGAGGTGTGTGCAATTTTTTTTTAATGTTACGTTTGTTGTAATTCTGTTTTCCTCTCTGTAACAGTTTCATGCTGTATTGGACTTCCATTTATTCCACTTCTATTTTTATTTTTTCTTCTGTGTATCTGGCTTTACTAATAGCTTGATTAGATTGACATCCAGTTGTGTTTTCTGGAAGTAGAGTTTTAAGGTAGTTGATTTCCTGACGAAAAATAGTTCAAATTTTAGGGTGAATAGTTTGTGGAAGATTAGCATGATGTTTGGATCCTCATTTTCCTGAGATACTGAAACAGTGAAAAGGCCAAAGTTAAGGAGACCGTGAGTGAGATGTACTAGTACAGTGAGGGCTCACACTTCCTTCTGCCTGTCTGTGTGGGCCCTGACGGGGGTGGAATTGCCCAGTGCTGTAGTGAGTTGTGGTTACTGGCAGGATCAGCACCAGTGCAGTTGTGCTGGAAATATAGCATTCATACAAGACAGTAACCAAGATTAGATCTGGGTTATCGATATATATAAAACCCTAACATGCCATAGGCCAAACAGTGGAACACCAAACAACTGGTCGCTATGATTTGTGCCGAGCCACGGTGGGATGGGGGACAAAACAGGGCACCAGTCGCTGTCATTGGGACGAGCCTTTGGTGGTTACTGAAAATTCTTTGCTCCATAAGCCACAGTTTCACCCGGTGCTTGCACCTGCTGCTGGCACCCGTGCTGGCCCCGGCCCCCCTTGCACCTGCTGCCAGTGCTAGAGCCACTGCTCACACCCACTGCTGACGCCCGGCGCCAGCCCCAGTCAGTTAGCAGCATCAGCAGGTACGAGCGGTGGCTGCCAGCCCCAATCCCGGAGGGCTTCTCCACCTCCCCCTGCTCCTGAAGGGTGATCAGGGCAGCAGCCACCACCGCACCCACTGACAGTTCTGGCTCCACTTGCACCCGCTGATGGCGTGGGCCAATCGGGGCTGGTCCCAGCAGCGGGTGTGAGCAGGGCTGGTGCGGGAACCAGGCGGCCAGCTGCCATGGTGGGAGTGGCCAGGCAGGAGTGCAGAGGATAGGCGGAGACCCACCCCTGTGCCCACCGTAGCTTTGCGGCCCACAGTTCCAAGGTGCATGAATTTGTGCACTGGGCCCCTAGTTGTCTCAGAAATCACTTTAGAAAATTATTGCAATATGTCGGCTATAGTAACATCTTCCTGAAGTATTATTATGTCAGTATCTTTGCTCAAGAATCTCATGTGTTAGGGTTTTAACTGTTTTTGAAAAACCTACCTAAATTTAACAAAATATTTGCTAAGAATTAACATAAAGTATTGCTACTTGGCTCATAATATAGAATTTGAATACATACACAAAAAAAGAACTTACCAGTAATGCCATTTTGAATGTGAACTCCTGGATGTGCCATTAAAATTGTTTTAGTTGCTGTCAATTTCTTTATACACTCCTCTAAAACATTACACCAGTTAAAACAGTTTTTTAAACATCTGCCCAATACTGAGAGACACAATAGCTTTTCTGAAAATGAAACTGTTTTAGAAAATTTGATTTTTTCTTTTTTTCTTCTCGATTGCTGTCTGTTAAAAATAGTCAGTCTGTCTTAGAGAAGGGAATTGGGTTGCTGTGAGTTTACTCCGCACAGTGTGATGTTGCTTTGATATAAAAGCCAGGGCCCCAGAGGCACCGCTTTTGTTTGCACATGTGCACCATCTGCTGTCTTGGTAGTTGCTTACACATTTTGTGATTTTTCTTGCCTGTGACTGTGTGCCTTCCTCTCTGAGAAATGATGCAGCAATGCCTTACTGATCCAGCAGGTTTTTCTCATTAAGTTAAACAGTTCTGTAAATTGTTACCATTGTTTAAGCTCTGTAGTGCAAGCCTGCGGCCCACCGACCACAAGTTTGATATACTTGCTGTAGTGTTTTTTGTTGTTGTTAAAGCCAATTGACTGCATTCTGTTTTTACAATCTACTAGACCAGTGGTCATCAAAACACGGCTCGCAAGCCACATGTGGTTCTTTGGCCCCTTGAGTGTTCCAACGCCACTTCTTCAAAATAGACTTGCCCAGGCTGAAAACCGACTTCTGCGCATGGGCCACGAAGTTTCAATCGCACTGTACATGCGCACCTGCACGTGGTATTTTGTGGGAGAGCCACACTCAAGCAGCCAAAGAGCCGCATGTGGCTTATAAACCTCGGTTTGCCGACCACTGCACTAGACCTTATAATCTGTTATCTTTTGAGAGCAATCATTGTGGCAGTTTGGTTGGTTTAATCATAAATATATGTTGTGGGAGTAAATTTGATTAAGGTTGAGATTTTTAAAAAGCATATGATTTCAGAAACCTGTGAACATAAATCATATATCTTGAATGACTTTTTCTGACTAAACTATAAAATTCTATTTTTTTCTTTCTCCATGTTGGGCGAAGGAATGTGTTTAAAACATAGGGCCTTATTTAAGAACGCCACCTCGGCCTTCGGGGGCTGTTCTGCCTTCTTATGAGAATGGGAGTTCACTCTGACCATGACTCTTTGCTTCTACAGTAACTGCAGATTGTAAGTGTGGTTTAGCTGTCAAGAATCAGAAACGGTTCTTGTCGTAAAGCTGTGGCTGCAGCGTCTAGAAATATAACAACCAACTTCCCATGCTCGGCTGCCACTGTGTTCCTTTCGTGGTGAAGGAGTTCGTGTCAATACTTGAGATGGAAAGTTGGCTTGTATCTCCTTTGTGTTTGTTTTCTCTGGACTCCAGTCATGAAGCCGTAGCCCATAAGGAGTTTCTTTTCCTAATTACCGATTCCCTCTTCTCATTGTGTGACTCACCGAACACGAAATTGTACCGTGACAGGACCTCAGAAAATCTAGTTATTATTTTGCCTTGATGCAGATTAGCTTATAAGTCATTCCACAATGATGAGTCTTACACTCTCCTGAGAAACGCTGTTTGCCACTTCAAAACGGTTACTATATTTTTTTAATGCCTGTTTCATGTGATACAAGACATACTGTATTTAATCCTAGTGAAATATGTTAGAATGTGGGAAGGGGTGGATTTTTATTTAGTTTTGTTATGAATTTACAGATATTATTTTGTTATTAGGTACTTTTTGCCTCAGAGACATCAAGAAATGCTTATTTCTAATTATTGCAAGATATTATAACTATTGTAATGATGTTATAGAGATAAACCTTTATTTAAATGTAAACCCCAAAGCATTGAATCTAATTAAAATGTAAGAGAAAACAGCAATGAGTTGTTTTGATTCTCAGTTTGGCAAACTTTAGAAAGATGGATAACACTGAGTGTTGGCAGAGTGTAAGCATATGGGCGTTGTTGGTATGACAAGAAACTCATACTTTCTTGCAGAGGGAATTTGGTAATGTGTCTTTAAGCCATTTTACCCAGAAATTTCAAATTCCAAATTCCAACTCTAAGAATTTATTCTAAAGAACTAAACAGGTACATATACAAAGGAAAAAGACTTTTTTTGGCTGCTTAAAATGAAAAACAAACAAAAACCCCACACACCTAAAAACCACCTAAAAGTCTTTAACTAGAGAGTTAGCACCTAACTGATGCTACAAGCAGTGGAATACTAATGGGTGAAGTAACCCCTGTAATATATGCAAAATTATCTGCATGAAAAAGTAAAAACCAGCAGTAGAGCAGTATGGGGCCATATTTGTAAAGTAGGAATTTCCATTTTTCTATCGTAAGTGCAGTCCTTGCCCCACTGGTATGACTCAGTGTTTGAGCACCAACCTGTGAAACAGGAAGTCACGTTTTGATTATTTTTGGCTCCATCCCCAGTAGGGGGTGTGCAGGAGGCAGCCCATCAATGATTTTCTTTCATCACTGATATTTCTATCTCCCTCTCCCTTCCTCTCTGAAATTAAAAAATATATATACTCAGAGGGAAAGTAGGGGAGGGTGGGAGTAAGGGGACAAGATCAACCAAAGGATTGTGTGCATGCATATGGGCCTAGCCAGTGGCCATGGACAACAGGGGGGTGGGGGCATATGTGGGGAGGGGTTTGGGATGGGAATGGGGGGATGAGGACAATGGACAATTATGTGATACCATAATCAATTATATATATATATATATATATATATATATATATATATATATATTTATTTATTTATTTTTAAATAAGAGCAGTCCTCAGGCTGCAGAGCAGGACTGGTCTGAGTGAGCAGCTGACACTCACTATTCCTCAGAGGCCTGGACTGTGGCCTCTGGGGCTGATTGTCCCAGTGGGTCTGCAAGCTGTTGACCTGCTTCTCCGCTTCCACTTGGGATTCACCACCTCCATTAGACCCACATGCTGGGACTGTTACTTATTTCCCCAGCCTCCAGGAATATTCCAAACCCGTATTCGATCCAAGCCCAGCAGGAGGCGCACAGCCTTCTCTGACCTGAAGAGCCCTGGGAATACTCACTCTCCACAGGCACAACTCCAAGGCATTGCGGTGTGTCTCATTGGCATTCGTTTACATACCAGGAATAAGGTAATAATTAAAGGGTTTCTGCAGCACTGGACCCTTCTGACAGACCTGGCAGGAGCTGCTGGGCTTGCCTGCGCAGCGATACTCCTGAGTGTTGCTTCAGAGTCTGGGTAGCCGTCCAATCCCATCAGCCCCATGATCACTGAACACATCCTCTGATCTTCCTCAGACGTCATCTATGTGTTTTCAAAGAAAACACCCCCCTGAATTCACACACCTGTACTCACTTAATACTGATTTGATTTCATTAGAACTCCATTCCCCCACCCCCCCCCCCCCCCCCCCCCCCCCCCCCGGCCCAGGCTCCAGGTCAGTGATTCCATCCAATCACATAAAGCGAAGGCAGGGAGAAAAACTTCCCTAAATGTTGGGGTGACGCTAAATAACGTATAAAATGCAGATGGTGCCCTAAATGGTTAGAGCATCAGCCTGCGGACTGAAAGGTCCGGGGTTTGATTCTGGTCAAGGGCATGTACAATACCTTGCTGCAGGCACATCCCCAGTAGGGGGTGTGCAGGAGGCAGCTGATCAATGTTTCTAACTCTATCCCTCTCCCTCTCCATAAAAAATAAAAAATATATTTTTAAAAAAGTGCGGATAGTGTGACCTAACAGACGGCAGGCAGGGTAACGTCTGTAAATGTCAGTGGTCTTACCTGCTGCCTGCGGCCACGGCACACCATCACAGGGAGTGGCTGGAGCGTCTTCAGGTGTCCTGAGCCCCTGCCGTGAGGCCAGGAGGCCCCTCTGCCAGGAGAGCCATGAGCAAATGCCACTCTTCCCTCTTCCCTGACCTCAGGCTGTTTGCCCGGCTGTACAATGGCCTCGGTGTCCGGCCTGGCTTCTGGCTGGCAGAGACGCTGACGTCTCCCTGGATCTGAGTGGACTGCTGTCGGTCAACCGGCCTCACCAAGAGTGGCACCCTCCAACCCTGGAAGGGGCTCTGCCAGAGCAAGTGACTCAGCAAGCCTCATGCTCCCATCCCGACAAATCCATCCAGGTGAAACGGGAGCCTCCGGGGAGCTTTGAACGGGCAAACATATTACAAAAGAGGGAGAGGGGAAGCTGTTTGGCCCACTTTGAGGGTACAGTGTGTGTGTGTGTGTGTGTGTGTGTGTGTGTGTCCTGTATTACCCTGCTTTTACTGCTGTAACAAATCACCATAAACTCAGTGGCTTAAGACAAGACAAATGTATTATCTTAGTCTTTTTTTAAAAATATATATTTTATTGATTTTTTTTACAGAGAGGATAGGAGAGCGATAGAGAGCTAGAAACATCGATGAGAGAGAAACATTGACCAGCTGCCTCCTACATGCACACCCCCCATCGGGGATGTGCCCACAACCAATATACATGTCCTTGACCGGAATCGAACCTGGGACCTTGCAGTCTGCAGGCCGACGCTCTATCCACTGAGCCAAACCGGTTTCAGCTATCTTACAGTCTTTATATGTGAAATCCAGCCCGGATCTCAGCAGGGCTGGTTCCAGGGGAGGCTGTCTCTCAGCTTCCAGGGCCACCTGCTTTCCTGGGCGTGTGGCCCCTCGTCCCACCCTCCACACTGGTGCTCAGGCCGGCTTCCTGTCTCACTGCATCTCCCTGGCCCTCCTACCACCGCCCGTCTCCCTCCGACCACGGGGAAGGCTCTCTGGCTAAGGACCCTGTGGTTATGTGGGCTCACCGGGACAGCCAGGGTAAACGCCGCATGGCCAGGGTCCAGGCCACCTGGGCAAAGCCGCTGTTGCTCCTGAGGCAACACATTCACAGGTTCCGGGGACGAGGGTGTGCAGATCTTTGGGGGCCCTTATCCCGTTTACCCTTGTTTAGACTTTTTATGTTGGTGGTGGTGTTATGTCTGTTTCATGTGAGCTGGCTAGCCACCCCTCACCCGACATGCCGCGACTCTCTCTTGACTCCCGTGCCCTGGACTGGGATCTAGCTCAGGTCTCTGGACAGGTCACTCCCCCTTTCTGAGCTGATGAGAAAGAGGCCAGATGTGTCCCGAGGCTCCCTTCCCCCTCTCACTGCCTAGAACCCCTGCTCCTGGTCCCGGGAACGGCGGGCGCCTCAAACTCCTGGGAAATGACCTCCAACCCACCTTGTCAGAGTTGGGTTTAATCTCGGGGTCGTAATGACCTCCTTTCCCCCCTTGCTATCAGCATGTATAGTTGTGTTTCTCTTCTGTCTTCTCCATGTGGAACTATTGAATCTGTACATAAACCCTTCTTCTATTCTCCATAAAAGAAATATTTAAATTTAAATTCATAAACGTCTTGGCCAACTGAACATTCCCAGGTCCTTTGGGCGAAGATGAATTTAATCCTTGCGCTCACAGAACACTGGCTCAGACAGCCAAAAAACCAGTGTTTCAGGAGCTCCTGTGTGGCAGGCCTCTATGAAAGACGAATGTTGTTTGTTTTAAAGACGAATGTTCTGCCGAAACCGGTTTGGCTCGGTGGATAGAGCGTTGGCCTGCGGACTGAAAGGTCCCTGGTTCGATTCTGGTCAAGGGCATGTACCTTGGTTGCGGGCACATCCCCAGTAGAAGGTGTGCAAGAGGCAGCTGATTGATGTCTCTCTCTCATCAATGTTTCTAACTCTCTATCCCTCTCTCTTCCTCTCTGTAAAAAAATCAATAAAATATATTAAAAAAGAAAAAAAAGACGAATGTTCTAATGGTGGACAAGACTCTGGGGCGCTCTCACTCTCCCTTCAGGCCCCAGCTCAAGAGTGTGCTGTCTCTGCTCAGGCTCCAGGGAGGAGCGAGGGCCCCTCCGGGCAGCCTTTCGCAGCCTCCTGTCTGTGGTCCCCACCGTGGGGCAGGCTAAAGGCTTTTCCCTGCCCCCTCATCCAGCTACTTCAGCCCCACCCAGTCCCGGGGAGAAAAGGGGGAAAGAAACCTCCCAGTTAGAACACATTTGGGCACTTGCCACTTCCTATGAGTTCACATGGAATGCTCAGTGCTGTTTTAGCACAGCAGCCCCAGAATATAAGTTCCCAAGAAGCCAGTGCAAAGGGGTGTTAGTGAGCGGACAGGACTCTCTCCTCTCACCAGGGACGCAAATGGAAATTAATCTCGGGGTGTTGAGCTGACCACAGCCTCCCAAACATCTTCCCCTGGTGCCGAGCAGCCATAACTGGGCAGAGAGATGCAAAATCCTCCCAGAGGCCTGGGGAGGAGGACTGAGAATGATTTCCCCCAGGGAGGTGCCAGACCCCGGGGAGGGAGCACTGAGCCCGGAGAGGCGGGGGAGGAAGCTGTGGGGAGGGAGGGGAATAGTGCCCACCCTAGGGTGCCCTCTGCAGGCCCCCGGAGAAAGCCCTGCAGGAGGCCCAGGTGATAAGGTCTTGCCCAGAGGAAGAAGGACTCAGACTGTATGTGTTCCCTTTGGGGAGAAAACCATAAGGAAGTCTCAGGAAAACTGATAGATGGCGTACTGCAGAGGGCGCCAAACTTTTGGCCAACAGTTCACAGAACTACACCGCCAACAGAAATAGCAGCTAATTCCTGTTATCTAGTGAGATACAGACGGCCTACTGGGAGTAGCTGTGTGGTGTCCAACGGCTGTCCCTGTGCTTCCCTCAACCATTTCGGCTAGGCCACGGTGTCCTAGGAGATGGTTGTGGAAACCTGTGGTTCCCCGGCACCCAGCTTGGGAACTGCATTCCTGATTTTAGTGCAACGGGAGCCTTCAAATTGAGGACTTGGGTGCGAGGAAGCCTCAGTCCCAGGCAAGACAAAGACCCGGCTGAGGACCTGTCTTGATTTCCTCCACTTCCGGAGAGCAACCAAAGACCCACCCTGAGCACAGAAGGGTGGAACCTACCACAGGAATCAACATTGAAATTGTTGGTTCTCTAGCCCTAAACAGTTTGGCTCAGTGGATAGAGCGTATGCCTGTGGACTGAAGGGTCCCAGGTTCGATTCCGGTCAAGGACATGTACCTTGGTTGCGGGCACATCCCCAGTGGGAGGTGTGCAAGAGGCAGCTGATCGATGTTTCTCTCTCATCGATGTTTCTAACTCTCTCTCCCTCTCCCTTCGTCTCTGTAAAAAAAAAATCAATAAAATATATTTTTAAAAAAGAAAGAAATCGTTGGTTCTCTTCCTCTCTCCCCTGAACCAGCCTGGGCTCCTGAAGGGCAGGGGCATCCTCTCCGCCTCTTACTCTGTCTCCAGCGCAAGGTGGGGACTCAGTACATTTTGGCTGAATGAATGAATGGCTGAATGGTTACCTCTGTTTTCTTAGAGGATAAGTGCTGATCAACAGCTCTACCTCCACACCTGCTCCAGGCTCCCTCCTACCGGGCCCAGCCCACAGGCAAGAGGCCCTGGACCTGTGCTAACTTCTATGGAAAAGAGCAGCTCCACTGCAGAGGCAATTTGGCTGCAAACCAAGACCAGAGTGGGGTTGAATGGTTTCGTATCTTTCCACCAGATAATGTATTTTTATGACTTGTCACCCTTGTCCCCAGAAACTTTTGGTTTCAACAAGCAATTTAAAAACAGATTTCTTTATGCAATGGTTCCCCATGGAGGTGCCCGTCAGAACCACCGGGGAGCTTTCTAAAAGTCAAATCCCTGGCCTCCCGCTCCAAAGTTCCGATGCATAGGTCCATGGAGGAGTCTCTGCAGGTAGCTAATTTTTTTTTTTTTAATTGTTTCCAAGTGACTGGCCCACACCCACCACTCACAATAAGCACGCCAGCTGTCAGATGGCCACTGACCCTCCCTGAGCCAGTGGCTGGAAACAGGTCTGGTCTTAAAGAGGCGCCTGGTGCCCAGGAAAGAAACCTGAGAAATAGGCTCCTGAGCACCTCCCCGGGCGGGGCCTCCTGGCCGCCTTTTCCTTCTGCTGCTTCTCTGCGCCCAAGGACACCTTAGCCCATTTCCAGACCTTCCAGCCTCGCCTGCGGTGCTGCCCGAGCGAGCGGGACAGGCAGGAATGCAGCAGACGGGACTCGCCTTCCTGGCCTTGGCTGCCTGGGCTGCTCTTCGCCCCTCGGCAGGTGAGTGGGGTGCTGCTTCCAAGCCCCCGGGGGAAGGGGTGCCTCCCAGAACAGAGGGGCTGCCAGCAATCCGGAGCAGGCATTTCTGTCCTCAGCTAGGAATGTCCAGGGATCTACAAGAGACTGGCATGTTCCTGATCAATTCCTGATGTCCAAGAATTTTCAGGAAGGAACCTCAGTTGAACAGGAGTCTTAGTGACTGGCTTACCTGGCAGATGGGGACAACTGCGAGCTGCGTTTTCTTTTCTGGTGAGAGAGTCTTAGAAAGTCCCCAGGGAGCCGTTGGGCCAGAGCCCCTCTTATTCTCCGTCGCCCCCTCACCCTAACCTGCTGCACTGTCTGGGTGCAAGGTGCATGTTCCTGGAAGAAGACAGACTTTTTAGGGTTTGGGAAGTTGCAAGTTTTCTGGACACAGTCAGCTCTGTAGAAGCTGAAAACCGAAACTTCAATCAGACCTTAAAAAAGGGCTGCAGGCCCTAGCTGGTTTGGCTCAGTGGGTAGAGCATCAGCCTGTGGACCGAAGAGTCCCAGGTTCAGTTCCAGTCAAGGGCCCATGCTCAGGTTGCGGGCTCGATGCCCAATAGGGGGCATATGAGAGGCAGCCAATTAATGAGTCTCAAATTTGATATTTCAAGCGCTCTCTCCTCTCTTTTTCTCTGAAATCAATAAAAAAATATTTTTTAAAGGGAATATGCCGGAGACCTATACAATTTATATTCAAGAGAACTTAAACAGGGAGCAGCTAACATGTAGATGGAGATGAGAATTGCGTTTGGACTGGATGTTTTCTACTGTGTTTAGGAATCCCGGACACAGGTGCTTAAAGCTTGACTGAGCAGTTACTCTTCCCATCTCGTGCTCTGGACTTTACCTGCAAAGATTCTCTAAATCCAAACCAGATGTGAAATAGGAGTCTTATTTGGTCTGCTCTTAAAAATGTAAAAAGCCAGCCCTAGCTGGTTTGGCTCAGTGGCTAGAGCGTCGGCCTGAGGACTGAAGGGTCCCAGGTTTGATTCCAGCCAAGGACACATGCCCAGGTTGCAGGCTCCATCCCCAGTAGGGGACGTGCAGAAGGCAGCCGATCAATGATTCTCTCTCATCACTGATGGTTTCTATCTACCTCTCCCTCTCCCTTCCTCTCTAAAATCAATAAAAATAGATTTTTTTAAAAAAAAGTATAACAGCCAACACACTAATTTGACACCCACTACTCACACGTACACGGATGCAAATTGGATTTTAAATCTACTCTTGACCAGTCAGATCTGGCCACAATGGACGGCCTGCTCCCTGGCGGCCGGTGTCTGGGGACTCAGGAAAATCCCACCAATCTCTTCTTCATTCCTACCAGCCTGGTTTATCAAGACAAAGGCAAGCGGCTTTCATTATACATGTTCTTGTAAAGTTTGTCAGAAAAAGGCACCACTGAAATTTTAGGACTCCCTTTCACTGTTTCCCAAGGGTTGGCCTGCCAAGGTTTATCTAAACAGGGCGTTTGGGCAAATGTTTACTCGCATAAGCGTCTCCCTTCAGCCTCCAGATCCGGCTCCAGCTGTCCCCGCAGCAGCAGGGGCAGCACCGCCTGCAGGACCTGCAGGACCAGGGAGGGAGGGAGGGAGAGAGGGAGGGCAGGCGGAGGGCACAGGGCAATGAGAAGCCCTGCCAGGCAGAGAGGGGACAGGAGCGCACAGAGGTGTTTGAAAAGGAGCCGTGGTGCCCGGCCGGCATGGCTCAGTGGTGGAGTACTGACCTATGAACCAAGAGGTTATGCTTCCAGTCCTGGTCGGGCTGTGGGCTCGATCCCCAGTGTGGGGTGTGCAGGAGGTAGCAGGTCAGTGATTCCCTCTCGTCATTGATGTTTCTATCTCTCCCTCCCTCTCTTAAATCAGTAAAAATACATTTAAAACTTTTTAAATTAATTTATTTTTAAAGCAAAGGAACGGAGGTGATGAAAAAAAGAAAGAAAGAAAGAAAGAAAGAAAGAAAGAAAAGAAAAGAAAAGAAAAGAAAAGAAAAGAAAAGAAAAGAAAAAAAAAGAAAAGAAAAGAAAAGCCGAGGAGATGGGACAGTAGCTTTTTTGGTTAATCTCGGGGCTTTCTCTAGGCTGTTTGGGCTGGAGGAAAATCACATTGTCTGAGAAGCCCCACCTCTGCCCTTTAAAAGTAAGTGATGGGTTAAAATATGGAGGGGAAGCCCGAGACCAGGTGTGGAACTGAGAGGGGCAGCCCCACTGCTTTCATGGCCAACCTCAGGGTCTGTGTCCCGGGGCCCTGCGGAGGCTGGTGGGGATTCAGCTGGGTGGGGTGGGGAAGGCCAGGGAGGGGGAAGGGGACGGAGAGAGGGATGCTGAGTAGTGCTGGGAAGGAGGCACGGGTGGCCTTGGCCACTGTCCAGGCGGGGGGAGGGAACAGGGAAGTGGATGTGCCAGTTTGGGACACAGGGAAATACATGCTGTTCCTCTGGGCATTAGCTGTTCTCTTATCTTAATGACCCCTTTAATGGCCTCCCTGGTGTGACGGCCCAGCGATTGGCATTGCCAGGGTGTTCTGCGTCCATCAGGAAGCAGCTGACGTGCCCACGGTTAAAAGCCTTGGATTCCACCCAAAGACAAGAGGGCATACTCCACACCCGCTGACACAGCTACTGGCTCCCAGAACTCCATGCTGAGCCCATAAAAACGTCTCTCGTGCCCTCTCTGGGCCCCCAGCCAGGTTCCTTAGAGCCACAGCCCGGGGGCGCTGTGGGCCTGGCTGTGTCCACCAGGTGTGGGCGGGGGATTCGGCTTCGCTGAGTCCTAGACGGGCTTCCTTCTGACGGGCAATCCACTGCCCCAGGTGAGGAAGGCCCCTCCCTGCACAGATACTTGCTGGAGACAGCGCTCTTGGCATCCTTAAAGGAAAGTAGCTTTTGTTTGTCTTAACCACAGGAGACTCACTAGGGAAGGTTCCCAAAGATATGTTCAGAAGTTGTCCTGCACAGTTTTCAAGGGAAAAATCCTGCACCCTGTAGCCTACCGACTGAGCTCCAGACCTTGGAGATGGCACAGCCCTGGCTCCCCTGAGGGCGACAATAATCCCTTGATCAGCCCTCCAGTTTGCAGGGGGAAGTCCTTCCCAAGGAGTTGGCTCAGTGGATGCGCTGGCTCCGAAGCCACCGGCAGGGGGCGCTGCTGGCTGCTGCGCTCTCCCAGAGCCTGGTGCTGGAGAAGTGCCCTGGCTTGAGCCTGCTGAGAAGAGCCAGGAAAACCCTCTCCCTGCCATGTCTCTCTAGCGCTCTCTACCGACAAAGACAGCTGGCGAAGGAGAAGTATTCCAGGGGCCCTTCTTAATTTTAATTGCACAGAATTGGCCAGTAAGGATGACTTTGAAGTGGAGGGGCAATACATCGACACCTTCCACAGGCACCGAATAGACAGACCCCTGGATGCCCCATGGGGAAGGGACTGTGCGCTTTGTCCAGTTTGTTTCCGCTTACTGAGCATTTACTATTTGTCACCCCCGTCCTAAGCGCTTAAGGGTACACACTCATGCAGTCTTCACAGCAACCCTGTACAGAGTGCTATCTCCCACCCCTACTTACAGATAAGGAAATGGAGACACAGAGAATGAACTCGGCTTGTACGTGGCAGAGCCTGGAATCGAACCTGGTTGGCTCTCTCCATATGCTCAACTGTGCAGTCAGGTCTCTCAGTGTATCTCTGCAGCCCGAATCACCCACCCCTTCTGGGCTACCCCTGGCCACTCCAGTGTCCATGCTGAGGGAAGTGCTGGGGGCCAGGTGGCTTCATATGAAGGTAAAGAAAAACCCTCAGCACTCTGCATTACCCAAACGTTACCCCAGGTTCCAGAGGGCGCCAGGGAGGACTTGACCAGTATTTGGGCTTAGCATTTCATGCCTCATGGCTTGGCGAGTCCTTCCTGCCTGCAGGAAGGTGACAGCAGAGGACACCTTTGTTTGTAGGCATCCATGTGTGACGTGTGACATGTCTCCATGAGGCATGAAGTCCACTAGAATGGGGAAGTGTATCTCTAACCAACCGCATTCGGCACACTGTGTTTGTTTACGTGTTGCCTTCTTAAACTGCAGCCATGGGCTTGAGATACGGCCAGCAGCCACGTGCACCTTCTCGTCATGTCTTCTTTACCCCAGGAGTCCTTTCTCCAGCAGCGGCAGGTGTCTTTGCCCTGATTCCATGTCGCTGTGCCCTTTGTACCAGTGCATTTCCGATAAGCCCCCGGCTGATGCCATTGCTGCAGCTCTGGGGACCACACTTGAGTAGCAAGAGGCTGTGCAATACATCCGGGGAAGAGAGGAAGCTGGTTTCCGTATCTACAGTCACAGGGTCCTTCCCCTAAAACCCAAACCTAATGCTTATACCCCAGGTTTGACATGTAGTGCCTTAGTGTTCCACTTCATCTGTCTTGAACACAGAACTCTCTAAGACAGTGGTTCTCAACCTTCCTAATGCCGCGACCCTTTAATACAGTTCCTCAAGTTGTGGTGAACCCCAACCATTACATTATTTTCATAACTGCAAGTATGTTACTGTTAATGAATTGTAATGTAAATATCTGTATTTTCCAATGGTTTGTATTTTCCATATATCTGTATTTCCAAATATCTGTATTTCCATATATCTGTATTTCCATATATCTGTAAATATCTGTATTTTCCAATGAGACCTGTGGGTCGCAACCATCAGAAAACACAGATATTTACATTACGATTCATAACAGTAGCAAAATTACAGTTACAAAGTAGCAACAAAAATAATTTTATGGTTGGGGTTCACCACAACTTGAGGAACTGTATTAAAGGGTTGCGGCATTAGGAAGGTTGAGAACCACTGCTTTAAGGCCTTTAGGGACCAAGGGTTAGGGGAGGGGCTGCTGGTGAAGGGGATCAATTGACAGAACCCAATCAGGGACTTTCATAACAAGGCACTCATTCCACTTGATACTAGAAACCACAATGATAACAACTCAGAACCAACAGAATCA